AGAGACATTTTGGTACCCTAATAAGGACATGACTATTAGACATTTTTATGAATAGACCTTGATTCCTCCGTTTATGTGTCAGATTGGGACCCTTTATTTTTTGGAGAATCTTAGAGCCTGAGTTAAATTGGCACTTTGAGAGGCCAAGGCAGGCGGATCATTTGAGGTCAGGAGTTTGAGACCAGCCTGGCCAACGTGGTGAAACCCTGTATTTACTAAAAAAAAAAAAAGTACAAAAATTAGCTGGGCATGGTGGTACGTGCCTGTAATTCCAGGTACTCAGGAGGCTGAGGCAGGAGAATCACTTGAACCTGGGATGCAGATGTTGCAGTGAGCGGAGATTGTGCCACTACACTCCAGCTTGGGCGACAGAGTGAGACTCTGTCTAAATATAAATATATATTGTTGCAGTCTGTCCCGGTCTTTTCTTAGATCCTCCAAGTCCTAGTTTGGAAAATTACATATTTATCTGAAGAATATTTAGACCATAGTTTGTATAACTTTAAGGTGATTATTGAATATGTAGACTCTGATCATTCATTTCTGCAAAAGTTTAGAATACCATTTTAAAAACTTTTTTATTGTGGTAAAATATACATAGCATAAAATTTGCCATTTCAACCTATTTAAGTGTATAATTCACTGGCATTTATTTGTTTATTTAGACAGGGTCTTGCTCTGTTGCCCAGGCTGGATTGCAGTGGCACAGTCACAGCTCACTGCAGCTTTGACCTCCTGGGCTCAAGCCATCCTACTGCTTCAGCTTCCTGAGTAGCTGGGACCACAGGCATGTGCCACCACACCTGGCTAATTTTTTATTTTTAGTAGAGACAAGGTCTCACTATGTTGCCCAAACTGATCTCAAACCCCTGAGTTCAAGTGCTTCTGTTCTCCTGCCTCAGCCTCCCAAAATGCTGGGATTACAGGCATGAGCCCCTGTGCCTGGCCAGTGGCATTTATTGTAGTCACAGTGTTGTGCACCATCACCACTATTTACAAAAATTTTCATCACCCCAAACAGAAACGCTGTACCCATTAAGCAATAACCCCTCATTTTCTCTTCCCATCAGCCCCTGGTTACAACCTCTAATCTGCTTTCTTTATTGCTGAATGTGTTCATTCAAGATAGTTCATAAAAGTAGAATCATACAGTATCTGCCCTTTTGTGCCTGGTGTATTTTACTTAGCATGATATTTTCAAGACCCATTCATGTTGCAGCGCATATCCAAACTTAATTCGTGTTTACAACTGAAATAGTGTATTTTATTTATCAGTTGATAAACACTTTGGTTGTTTTTACCTTTTGTTTATTTTGAATAGTGCTGCTTTGGACATTGGGTCCGAATATCTGTTTGACTCCTTAGAATAGCATTTTGCACACTGAGAAATGTGTAGATCTTTTATATAGAAAATTTTAGTCTTCCAGATTTCGCATGTTGACTGAAATTATTTCTGTGTAACTTAAATAAACACAAACATAAAACTAAGAATTAATAACTCCTTATAGGCCAGGCGCGGTGGCTCAAGCCTGTAATCCCAGCACTTTGGGAGGCCGAGACGGGCGGATCACAAGGTCAGGAGATCGAGACCAGCCTGGCTAATACGGTGAAACCCCGTCTCTACTAAAAAATACAAAAAACTAGCCGGGTGAGGTGGCAGGCGCCTGTAGTCCCAGCTACTCGGGAGGCTGAGGCAGGAGGCGTAGACCCGGGAGGCGGAGCTTGCAGTGAGCTGAGATGCGGCCACTGCACTCCAGCCTGGGCGACAGAGCGAGACTCCGTCTCAAAAAAAAAAAAAAAAAAAACTCCTTATAACTCTCGTATACAGGTAAATTCAAAATCAATTTTTCAATTAAACAAAAATAAAATCAGTACAGCTTTAACAATTGTTATCCAATTATATTTACTGAAAATAAATGGCTTATGTTGGTTTTAATAGTGTAAAAAGATATACTTTTGTATGATGGGCCATTATTTTAGCTTTCATCATTATCATGTTTTCTTTTTAACAGTGAATGCATTTTTAAACCAATAATCCATTATTTTGATGTGCAGCTCATTTGCTAGATTATCCCAGAATATAAATCTGGAAAACAAAGGAAAAACAGCAATTCAGTGAGAAATTATTTACTACACATTTATTGCAACAGTTTTTTTTCATGAACTCTTGCGAGCAGGTACCTATAAAGGCAAAATCCAGAGAGTGTATCTGCTTGCTGTCAGAGGTTGATTGCAACAAACAGGTTTTAATAATTTGGTTAACCTCACACTTGTTTTTATTGGAGCTTATTTGAACTGCTAACATCATGATGTCATTTGACCTTCATTTATTACAAACATATCACTTACTTATTCAGTCTGCCTCTGTTTACTGTTGGCCCATTTCCATTAAATCAGTACAGCATTCTAAAGGAACATGTTGTTTTTATGATGTTAAATCAGATTCTTAGTTTATTATATAAGAACCTAAAATCTTATTTCATGAAAATATGCAAATTTTTTTGCAAAAAATATGAGCACAACAAGGGGATATAGGATAATGATTGTTATTTTGACATTAGCATTTGCCAGCCTAACAGCTGTTAGACATGCTTACTGGAACCTGAAATGATCAATCCTATTTCTTCAAGATATCACTTGGTAATATCTTAAATATAAACATGGAAACCAGCTGGAACACTGAAAATCCCATCATGCTGCATTGTGAAGTAGTCATCCAAGGATTCAGAATATTCTTGTATTTATTCTTTATTGATACAAACATTTTTAATGATGACACAATTCAGGTGCCCCAAAGAATATTCCAAAGGATAACACTGCCTCAGTTTGACAAATACTGGTTCAAACATTAACTCTATTGCTTTACTCACATTGAACTCTAATGCTTTATTCACAAACAGTTGGTCTACCACTTAAAGATGGGGCTTTGTGATTTCCAAACTGCACATACATTCTATTTTTACAATAAACCTTATTTATTATTTCTTCATAAGAAGTAGAGTTGCCATGTGGATGAATAGTTGTGTTGCACAAATAATATATCTTCTTCCTACTTGAGAAACTAAACTATGAGAAGAAGGTTGCTTGATGAACACAGACCCCTCTATACACACTAGGCGCTCAATAAGTGTTAAGGAATTGTTTGATTAAGCAGTGATAGCCCCCTTCCACACACGTATTACTAAAAGAAAACACTGTCAAATCAAGCTTGATAAGTGTCTCTCACAATCAGTGATATTCTTTATCTCAATTTCATATTGACTCTATGCCAACCCTCAAACTTCTGTTTTCCACCTAGTTACACCATCTTCGAAACCAGTTTCACGGCTGTTTTTAATGAAACCCCAACTCTTATCCTATGAAAAAAATTCATAGCAAATAACACTACTCATAGTTTACACATTCCCAGAGGGGAGTCCCTTTCTGACCAAAGTGTCTCCATTTTCATTAACTGCTGACATTCTTCTTGATGATCCTCTTTCTGGGGTGGGGACTTATAAATCTCCTGTCTACTTATTGCCAATAATATACCTTTCATTGAAAAATACTAAATATTTTCTATATTTAACTTATGTAATTTTATACCTCATTATATTTCTAATTCTTGATTAGCCACATTTTATCTCCACAAAAGTCATAAAATGTTGATGAATATATGATTTATGTAGTGATCATCTTTCTATTGACATTAGCGGATATACACTATAGTATCTGGTTTTTTTGTCTTAAAAATTAAGTTTAATAAATACAACTTATTTTTACCACGTCATTCTTCAGTACCGCTTTGTAGTATTTAACATGTTTCAAAATGTATAAATATGGCCGGGCGCGGTGGCTCAAGCCTGTAATCCCAGCACTTTGGGAGGCCGAGACAGGCGGATCACGAGGTCAGGAGATCGAGACCATCCTGGCTAACACGGTGAAACCCCGTCTCTACTAAAAAATACAAAAAACTAGCCGGGTGAGGTGGCGGGCGCCTGTAGTCCCAGCTACTCGGGAGGCTGAGGCAGGAGAATGGTCTAAACCCGGGAGGCGGAGCTTGCAGTGAGCTGAGATCCGGCCACTGCACCCCAGCCTGGGCGACAGAGCAAGACTCTGTCTCAAAAAAAAAAAAAAAAAAAAAAAAGTATAAATATGGCCTCCTATCAAATCACCACTGAAAGTCAAGAATCTACCTATAAGTTTGTAGTACCTTGCATACAGAAGGAGAACAATAATATATTTTGAATAAATGATTAGATAAATAAGTGGGTATTATCTGAATCGATTCCATTAACATTTTAAAATCCCTAACTTAATTTTGACTCATCTAACCAACAGAAGTTCAGTCTGGCTGTAGCCTCTCAGAACAGACATTTTGCAAAATATATATAGTTGACTATTAGGAAGAGGACCTTCACTGTAAATAAATGGGGTATCTCTTCAGTCATTCTCCTCCATTATCAGTCAGGTGGGCTTGGAGTAAACACCTCTCTTATCGCTTCTTCAACCCCATTTTCTTTCTAAATTTTCAGAAAGCTTCAGTAGAAATGTTTAAACTTTCAAGAAAGACAACTTTAGCAGAATTACATACTGGTTGGGCACATATACATCTTTGTAAATGTACGTAAAAGAAAACTAAGACCAGGCGTGGTAGCTCACACCTGTAATCCCAGCACTTTGGCAGGCCAAGGTGGGAGGATTGCTTGAGCCCAAGAGTTCGAGATCAGCCTGGACAACATAGACCCCATCTCTAAAAAAAAATAAATAATAAATTTAATTAGCTGAGTGTAGTGGTATGTGCCTGTAGTCCCAGCTACTTGGGAGACTGAGGCAGGAGAATTACTTGAGCCCAGGAGGCCAAGGCTGCAGTGAGCCAAGATCACACCACTGCACTCTAGCCTGGGCAACAGAGCAAGATCCTAGCTCAAAAAAAAAAAAAAAATGAGTAGGAAGCCTGTTTTATTCTACTATTATAAATGTGAAATTTTATGCAACTTTGCATTTTATTTTTCGTACAGGCAGAAATACTCAGTGTCCTCAGTCACAGAAACATCATCCAGTTTTATGGAGTAATTCTTGAACCTCCCAACTATGGCATTGTCACAGGTAAGAACTCAGTATTTGACTTCTTTCTTTTTCCAGTTACCTAGCTTTAGATTCCTTAATATGCTAAAATGCTTAATATTAGGTTCAATCATGAATTGTGTGTTACTGTCAGATGTCACTTTTGTTGCTATAAAGCATTAATAAAACTGATTATATCAATATAATTAAGAATAGTGTTTCCACTTCTACCCATGTTTAATTGTGCTAATTATATCTGCGTAAATGCTATTTAAATGCACTTGCAGCTGCAATACCAATATTTCAAGGTGCCGTTTAACTAAAATTTCATTTAATTAGCTGAAATGAGAGATGTTTTTTGTAACTCTGTGACCTTTTATAAATTAAGATTTCTTGAGCTATTCATGTTGTAATTCTTTGCAAGGCATTTTAATCCCATTAGAGCATTCTTTCTTCAAGGTCTCTGACATGAGAACAATATTTTTCAGGTTTGGTCAACTAAGTTGGTAATGACCTTGATCTAAATTATCATATAATTTGGAGCAGCAGTTTATAACTGACAGACATACCCTTTCTAAAAAGGAGCACATAGAAAGTTTTGCCACATGAAAATACAGAGAGACACATATCTTTAATACTTTATGCTCATATTTGTATAATCCACTGAATAGCTTGTAGGTCTACAATAACTCGGTTTTACAACAAATAACTTTGATCTCTATCTTGGCAATTCTTTGATTAAAACAAAGTCAAACAAGAAAACCTTAAAATATTAGCCATATCTTCTCCCACAATAGAGGTGAGAACCTGGATTGTCTTTATAGAAAATAACAACAAAACACCCCTCAACAAAAAGGATTGTATTAAGTACTTTCTATAAATTATCTCATCTAATACTTACAGTAATTCTATGACATAGATAAAATAATTTCTATTTTACTAGTAAGAAACTACATCTCTAACTTAAGCAACTTTCCCATGGTCACCTAGCTAGTGGTAGAACCAAAGCACTATAAATTCCTCAAGCTGATTCTCCACAGAAGCTCCTCTTCTATGCAAGCTAGGTTCTGGAAAGCTGTGAGCTGACTGGTTCTTAAACTCAGAGAGACATGGTTGCTGTTATTCCATCTTCTGGCAGCAGGTAGTTTAACATGCTTTTACTCTTAGTAGCATTTTAACCTAAGTTCTTAAGTGGAGGGACTTTTTTCCCCAATTCACTGCCTTTAGATCTGTGACTGAAATGGGGCATGTAGCAATTTTTATCTTGAGTCTATATTTCCTATAAATGTAAATACCCAAGAATGGAGTATATTGTTGGTGAGGGGGGAGGTAACCATACCTCACGTTTTAAGTCAGATTTCTTTTTTTTTATTTATTTTTGAGACGGAGTCTCGCTCTGTCGCCCGGGCTGGAGTGCAGTGGCGGGATCTCAGCTCACTGCAAGCTCTGCCTCCCAGGTTTACGCCATTCTCCTGCCTCAGCCTCCTGTGTAGCTGGGACTACAGGCGCCCACCACCTCGCCCGGCTAGTTTTTTTTTTGTATTTTTTAGTAGAGACGGGGTTTCACCGTGTTAGCCAGGATGGTCTTGATCTCCTGACCTTGTGATCCACCCGTCTCGGCCTCCCAAAGTGCTGGGATTACAGGCTTGAGCCACCGCGCCCGGCTTAAGTCAGATTTCTGATTTAAAGTTAAACCTTTCTTTGTCAACCCATATACCATGTGGCTCCTTTTTTCTGTGTCTATTGTATCTACTTTTTTTTTAACTAGTTATATTTACTTTTTAAATCTGAATCCAGTGTTCTGATCCTCGTTTGTGGCTGATATTATTCCTCCCTAAGAAAGTGTGATACTCCCAAGAGATTAGAAATTCTGTTTCTTGTTATATACTCTTGATGTTTAATGCTTTTTGAAAATATTTTTGGCCAACTAATGAGCTATTCATGAAGTGTTCTAGTTTCTTGAGGTGAGGGTGAATGGAAAAAAGGGGACTTGAGTGGTGATATGAAATTATTTTTCCAAGAGTTTACTCTGAGTAGGAAGATATGAAACATTCTTAGCCAGCATATTTCCCCTAGGTCACCTCATCTAAAAGAGGGAGAAATAATCCAAGAAGTTCGCTTTCATTCAGCATTTGTATCACACTAACCAGTCCTTTATTTCATTCATCCCTTTAGCATTCTCTACTCATACTTGCAACTACCAAATTATTTAGTTAAATTGATTGTTTTTTTATGGATCCATATCTCTCTCTCTGTAGAGCCAGTAAGAAAGCAACTGTTAACATTAAACATAAGAATTAAAACAACACAAGTTTCAGATTATGAGCTAGTAGTAGATTGTGAATTTATAGCTCTTATTGACCTATGAGATTGATTATTAAAGAGACCTGTTAGATGAGTTTTAGTGTTTTGAATGTATTGATTTGATATGATTATCTTTGTTCCTAGAGATATTAGTTTTAATTAACTAAGTGCTATTTATGTGAGCCTTTCAACCTACCATCTATGGCTATGCTCTGTGCGTGGGTAGTAGAAAATATGACAACTGAGCCCAGTTTGGGAGTGAAGAGATCACATGGATTAGTGATGATGACACTTACTCTGCCACTGGAAATGAGCACAAATAAGTCTTAGTATGAGGCGGTTAAGAGAGAAGCAAAGATAGGCAGGAAAACTGACCTTGATCACCCAGCCCCAGCCAGATACCCCTCTGTGAACCTCATCGTATTTATCAAATGGTGGAGGCTCTGAAGGAGGAAGCTTGGATGGCTTGAATCCATTCAATTTGAGGTAGTTTTTTTGTTTTTTTGTTTTTAAATAGAAAAGGTTGTTGCAGCAGGCAGCTGTTGTCATTCATGCTGAGGGCTTGAAAGAATTATTTATCAGGGTGGTGGAATGGAATGAGCAATGGAATGGGAATTGTGAGATGTGAGATCTTGTCTTGATTCTGCCAGAGCTTCATAGATGGGTCACTGATGATCTCTCTCTGTCTGTTTTCTCATGTGAATGAAGGGACTAGAATACATGATCTCTGGGTGAGAGTATGTATGTATGTGTATAGTTGTGCATGTGTGTTTGCTGAAACTTTTTATCACAGACATATAAAACCTGCTAATCAGGGGACCTGGGGAAGAGACTAAGAGGCAGCTGCCAATTTATTTCCCATCGAAGGGAAATGAACATCTTTCTCCCAGATCTACAAAGAAATGGGGTGACAAGAAACTCAGACTCCAAAGCCAAAAGAAACAATAATGGATCATCTTTTCTTTTTTTCTTTTTCTTTTCTTTTTTTTTTTTTTTTTTTTTTTTTTTTTTGAGACGGAGTCTTGCTCTGTTGCCAGGCAGCAGTGGTACGAACTGGGCTCACTGCAACCTCCACCTCCTGGGTTCAAGCAATTCTCCTGCCTCAGCCTCCTGAGTAGTTGGGACTACAGGTGTGCGCCACCACGCCCGGCTAATTTTTGTGTTTTTAGTAGAGACGGGGCTTCACCATGTTGGCCAGGATGGTCTCGATCTCTGACCTCATGATCTGCCTACCTCAGCCTCCCAAAGTGCTGGGATTACAGGTGTGAGCCACCACGCCCGGCCTGGATCATCTTTTCTTTGATCTTTGGAAACCTCTTCATTCTGTACTACTCCCATTATTTTATTTCTCTCTCTCTGTGTGTGTGTGTGTGTGTGTGTGTGTGTGTGTGTGTGTGTGTGTGTAAAACATAAATACATGAGGGCAGGGGGAGTTCCTGGGAGATGAAGGAAGGAGTTGTTAGGTACCAGACCATGTAGCTCTTTTGCAGCAAGCCAGATTGGAGAGGAACCGACACCCAAAGTATCTGGTAATCTAAGAGTAAAAAAAGGGTGGCAGACTGGGTCCCAGGGTTCCAGAGAGAAGTGATTTAGGATCCCAGATGCCTGGAAGTTGCTCTTTGTTGTCAGGGGCTGATCTCACCTCTTAAGTTACCTGTTCTGCGTTAGCCTCTGTTACTTCTCTAAGAGAGGAGACTAGTTCTGCATCATTTCTCAGCAGGCCCAAATTCTCATTCAACCCAGCCAAGGAAAACATACTAATTTTTAAGTGCCCAATCTCATTTCCCTTAACTTGATCTTGATTTATTTTAAGCACAAATACATCTAATTTGCATGTTTTGATATTGTGCTGGTCTTTTTTTATTAGTCAATTAGAGACACGTGTCACATTTTGTTGTAACACGTTTCAGACATTTGCGTAAATTTATTTATTCTGTTAGTTATCATCTAAATTAAGCTTGGTCTTGGTGACATTACAAAGAGATTTCATGGTAATGGTTTTCTTCCAACAAAACTGATATTATGTTTACATTTATCGAAGCCAGCTATTGTCACCGTAAAACTCAAAGGGAAGAATCATCTTATAAATGAAAAGGAAATGTTTGCTTAATGTGGTTCTTAATGACTTTAAAAAAAAAAAGAAACAAATGCTTTATACTAAAATCCAGTAAACTACTTTCTTCAGAGAAGTGGTTTGAAAAGCATGTGACCATATGTGTATATAGTGAGTCCACAATTTCCAGTGGGAAAACCAAAAGGATGAAAGAATTGAATGCTTATTTAAAATAGTTAATATGTTAGTTTAGCTATCCACATACCTAAAGATGATATTTTATATGAAATAAAGGTAATAATATTGCCTTTCTTGCAACTTCAGTCATGAAACCATTTTATTTAATGATGTATCTTTTTTATTATACTTTAAGTTCTGGGATACCTGTGCAGAACGTGCAGGTTTGTTACATAGGTATACACGTGCCATGGTGGTTGCTGCACCCATCAACCCATCATCTACATTAGGTATTTTTCCTAATGCTCTCCCTTCCCTAGCATTAAATAAAACCCCCCCACAAGCCCCGGTGTGTGATATTCCCCTCTCTGTGTCCATGTGTTCTCATTGTTCAACTCCCACTTATGAGTGAGAACATGTGGTGTTTGGTTTTCTGTTCCTATGTTAGTTTGCTGAGAATGATGGTTTCCAGTTTCATCCATGTCCCTGCAAAGGACATTAACTCATCCTTTTTGTGACTGCATAGTATTCCATGGTGTGTATGTGCCACATTTTCTTTATCCAGTCTGTCATTGATGGGCATTTGGGTTGATTCCAAGTCATTGTTATTGTGAATAGTGCTGCAATAAACATACGTGTGTGTATGTCTTTATAGTAGAATGATTTATACTCCTTTGGGTATATACCCAGTAATGGGATTGCTGGGTCAAATGGTATTCCATGTCTTCATCATCATTAGAATGACTTTTTAAAGTTAACGTGGTTTTTGGAGTAGTGTCTTAACTATAGTATAAGATGTTTGAAGTATCATGGTTTGGGGAATCTCTGTATAATACTATCTCTGGATATTTATCTCAAGCTACAGGTACCCAATGGCATAACATTAGGATTGTTGAATATTTTAGTCCCATATGGTATATTTATAATCATAACTGACTGCTTTTCAAAGTGATCTTTAGAAGGCTCGTTTTCAGTGACATCCCGCAGTTGGAATTGAGTTATAGTTCCAGGAATAATTGGCTCTGTGTTAAATTTTGTTACCCTTCCCTTATTCCCTCCCTCCCTTTTGTCTTATTCTTATAGGTGACCTTTATAAGCTTTGAAAAACTGGCTTTGATTGAGATCATCTCAGACTTATATATTTTTCCCTAAACAGTGTTTTGTTGTTCAAATAAAGTAATGGAGAGAGCATCTTAAAATATGAGGGATTTTAGAAGTTCCTGAATATAAGTTGACTCGTTCTTTTCTTAGGTATAATTTTACAGGACTACAGTTGCCATCTTTGTAATATGCACATGACTGTTTCAAGTGTAAACATATTTATCTTAAGAACTGTGTCGTGCCTAAGAGCCATTCGTAGGGTGCCGCTTGTCTGTAAACTGGCCTACTTGTCCTTATGAATAATGAGGGCTGACTAAACTTGATTGAAACGTGAGGAACTTTGTGTTTGTAAAAATTAGCAGTGTTTCTTATTTCAAGGGTTTTATGGCATTCTCTTGCTTATTCTATTAAACCTTTTATTCTTTAAACCTTACAGTGGGCCATATGTATGAAGTTTATAAAGTATTAACGATGTTAACCAAAACAAGAAAAAAAATTCCAAACGGTTCCCACTTCTGTACTGTTTTATCATCTCAAAAGTTTAAATAAGATGTTCTGCTGCCATTGTTTTTTTTACTGTTCACTGTATTAGCACTTTCTCTGATGTGCTTTGGAGGCTGATTGATGAATTTCTTAGACATTTTGCTGGAATCAGTTTAAGGGTGTCTGACTAGATGGTGAACAGTAGACTGAGAGAATCTTCAAGTGACCACGTCATTGTTTTCTTGCTGTCTTTACTTGGTGATTAAGATACAATTCTTTTTAAAACCAAATGGCACTGGTTATCATATTTCCCAAATCAGAAATCTATTTTAGTTAATATTTTAAAGAAATACAAAGCCATAGCAAAAACCAATGTTATTTTTACTACAGAGTGTTAATGGATGTAAAGAGGTTAGCGAGACATAGTGTTTAATTAATGATGTTTATTTTCACTATATTTAATGGTAGTACTTTTATCTCCTTTAAAGAAAAATAATGTTTATTGGTTAAAGGTAAGAAATGATAGACACCAATTTAATTTCAACATCTTTGACTATATTATAGACATTTACATATTTATGGTTTGGAAGATTTGATGTTGTCAAGAGGGCACTTCTCCCCATAATGATCTATAAATTCCACGCAATTCCTATCCAAATCCCAGCAGACTTTTTTTTAGAAATTAATAAGCCAATCTTAAAATGTATGTGGTAATGCAAAATAGTCAAACCAATTTTGAGAAAGAACCAACTTTGAGGACTTAGATTGCCTCATTTCAAAACTTACAAATCTGTAGTAATCAACCTAATACAATATTGGCATAATATCTACAGGGATGTAGACCAAAGGAACACAGTTAAAAGTCTAGGGAAAAAGCCTTACATTGATTGGCAATTGATTTTCATCAAAGATGCCAAGACAGTTAAGTAGGTGAAAGACAGTCTTTGATCGTTGAGACAATTAGAAATTCGTATGCCAGGGCCAGGTGCAGTGGCTCACGCCTGTAATTCCAGCACTGGGGAAGGCTGAGGCGAGAGGATCACTAGAGCCCAGGAGTTCAAGACCAGCCTGAGCAACATGGCAAAATCCCGTCTGTACAAAAAAAATTAGCTAGCGTGCTGATGTGCACCTGTAGTCCCAGCTACTAGAGAGGCTGAGGTGGGAGGATTGCTTGAGCCCAGGAGGTTGAGGCTTGCGGTGAGCCAGGAGTGTGCCACTGCACTCAAGCCTAGGCAACAGAGTGAGACCTTGTCTCAAAAATAAATTCATATGCCAAAGAAAAATTAGAGCCACACCTCAGACCACACATAAAAATGAACTCAAAATGGATCATAAGCCTAAGTATAAGGGTTAAACTATAAACTCTTAAAAGAAAAATAGGAGAAAATCTTCATGCAGAGAGGGTTAGGCAGAGAGTTCTTACAAATGGTACCAAAAGCACAGCCATAAAAGAAAGTTGATAAATTGGAATTTATAAAAATTAACAATTTCTGCTCTTTGAAAGATGATCTTAAGTGAATGAAAAGACAAATGACAAACTGGGAAAAAATATTTGCAAATCATATATATGACAGAGGACTTGTATCTAAAACTAAAAAAAAATTATTAGAACTCAATAAAACAACCCAACGTAAAAATGGACAAAAGATTTTAATAGTCATATTGCTTAAAAATATATAAAAGGGGCTAATAGGCACATAAAAAGATGCCCAACTTCGTCAGTCACTAGGGAAATGCAAATTAAAAGCTCTGTGAGATACCACTAGTGTTATACCCACTACAATGGCCATAATCAAAACAACAGACAGTACTCCTGGGCACAGTCACATGCACCTGTAATCCCAGCTACTTGTGAGGCAGAGGGTGGCAGGGAAGGACTGCTTGACAACAGGAGTTTGAAGTTTGAGGTTAGCCTGGGCACCATAGCAAGACCCTTTTCTCAAAAAAAAAAAAAAAAAGACAATATCAAATGTTGGTGAGGATGTGGAGAAACTGAAACCCTCATACATTGCTGGCAGGAATATAAAAATAGTACAGCCTCTTTGGAAAACAGATTGATAGTTTCTTTAAAAGTTAGACATAAACTTACCATATGGCCCTGCAATATCAGTCCTGAAATCTACCCAAGAAAAATTAACATATTTACATACATAGACATCTACACAAATGTTCATAGGAGTATTATTCGTAATAGCCAAAAACTGGGAACAATCCAAATATCTATCAACTGGGGACTGAATAAATCAAATGTAGTATATCTGTACAACAGAATAGTATTCAGCAATAAAACTGAATGAAGTCTTCTTGTATGCTTACCATTTGAGTGAACTTAGAAAACATTATGCGGCCAGGCGCAGTGGCTTAAGCCTATGATCCCAGCACTTTGGGAGGCTGAGACAGGTAGGATTGCTTGAGCTCAGGAGTTTGAGATTAGCCTAGACTACATAGCAAGACCTCATCTCTACTGAAAAAAAAAAAAAAATCAGCCTCAGCATGGTGGTGTGTGCCTGTAGTCCCAGCTACTTGGGAGGCTGAGGTGGGAGGATTGCTTGAGCCTGGGAGGTGGAGGCCACAGTGAGCCAAGGTCAAGGCTGCAATAAGCTGTGATCACACCACTGCAGTCCAACCTGGGCAACAGAACGAGACCCTGACTCCAAAAAAATAGAAAGAAAAAAGACATTATGCTGAGGGAATGATGTCAGACACAAGGAACAATTTGTATGATTCTGTTTATATGAACTATCCAGAAAAGACACATTGGTAGAGAGAAGAAGCAGATTGTAGGGCTGGGGTGAGAGTGATGATTAACTGCAAACCGGCACAAGAGAACTGTTTGTAATGATGGAAAGGTTCTAAGACTGGATTGTGGTGGTGGTTGCCCAACTTTATGAATTTGCTAAAAATCATCCAATAATATACTTATTGCAGGTGAGTTTATGGTATGTAATTTATACTTCATTTTTAAAGGATTTTTCTCACTTTTTTGACCTTTTGTGCTTAAATTTTGAGAACTCTTCCAAGTCCTTATGCGGCAATGATTGATTTGTTTGCATTGTCATATAAGCTCTCTAATTTATGCATTTAATATCTATCTCATAAGAATAACAATTTTTAAAGAAATATCTATTTACATACATACCTTTGTTTCAAATTTATTCTTCCAACACCTCTTCGTGTTTCTCAGTTCCAGCTAAATGGCTTTTGATTCTCAACTGAAGTTTACTATTCATTGTATGTTACTGGTCTTGTGTTTGACAGATATTTTTCAGGATGACATTAACTTTTAGAAACCATAGCATGGAATAATTTTTTATATACTTTTGATATCTTTTGGTAAATTCTTTAATGTATTTTCTCAATGAAAATATAAAGCCTTATTTCTGAAATGTACCTTGATTTTAATTATATGCTTATCTTTCCTTTTAAAATAGAATATGCTTCTCTGGGATCACTCTATGATTACATTAACAGTAATAGAAGTGAGGAGATGGATATGGATCACATTATGACCTGGGCCACTGATGTAGCCAAAGGTAATAATATTTGGTATATTCTTACAGAATTGGTGGGGTGCATTTTCCCCTCCTGAAATGGGGACTTACCATCAGAAAATGTTTTATTCTGTCTTTAGATGTTCTTTTTTCAGACCAAAAGTAGTAAGAATTCCAAAGCTGATTGTACAGATAACATTTTGGGTCATTGCCTTTTCCACTCCTGAATTCCTTTTCTCTTTCTCTTTTCTCTACTTTATTTCTATTCATGAAATCTAGTTGTAGCTTCAGGGCAGACATGTTTGTCATGTTTTGTGATATTATAATTGACTAGCGTGCTTGACACATTAAATGGAAAAATCATAATTCTGTTGTTCTGAAAGTCTCTACTTAGACTCAGTATCCAGAAAACATTTATTGTAGAATTAGTTCTACTCATTTTGTGTATATAATATGCTAAAAATAGAAACCACTTGCAAAAAATAATTTTTATTTGTCCTGCCATCTAAAAGCAATTCAGATTTTATTTTACATTTAATGTAAACTTACTTAGGCATCGCTGTTGGAAATTAAATATTTTTAATACACCAAACCCCTAAACAAGGTCTTTTTTCTCATACATTCCTGCATAGACGAATGCTTTCTAAAGCAATTCAAACTTCATTTATTTTTATCTTTTTTTTTTCCATTTTCCTGACTGAACATTTCTGGGCTTTATTTATAACTGTCAGAGTTGCTTTGGAAACAACTTCATCTAAATAATGAACACTGATAGTTATATTTGTATTCTAGCAACCCCTACAAAGTGTGTCTGAATTTTCCTGGGGCAATTAACTCCTTTACATTTTACTACTCCATTCTCTACAAGCATCTCTTTACAAAGCAAATAGAACGTGATTTAGCACTCAGTAAGGGAAGCAACTCATGCGTTGATTTCACTGTGTGACTTCCAAAAGTAGTAGTGTTTCCTTTGGGGAATTGTCTATTTTAAGTTTCATCAACACCTACCAAATTCTTCAAATAGGGAAAGTGAAAAAAAATTTGAGTTTCATGCTGGATGCTGCTGCTGAATGATGCCTCATTACATTATAAAAATAATAAGCTCTGTGTTTAGGGTAGTGTACCTGAGACTTTAGCTATGTTAATTTGCTTAATTGTGTATTGATGCATCGGGCATCTCAAATCATGCGGAAACCTTCATATTCTTAAAGATATTTTCATGTAACATCGTAGAGACTTCTCTTCTTGTCAGTAGAACACAAGGACCAGCTCTCTGTAAGCAAGGTGATGTGCCTTGATTAGGAGCTGCCTGCAACATTGTGGAAATACCCTTCAATAATGTAAATGCATATGTAGGTAGTCCTTAACTTACAGCATATCACCTTACATACATTTGCATTTAGGGTGCTCAGCCAGTTACAACCATGCCACTACTTATTGGCACTTAGAATAGATAGACAGCAAACAAATCAGCTAACATCAGTCACTCTGCTTCCTGCTGTGCTCTACTTAAGCATCCCTGGTTCCCAGTCTGGGAACCTCTTCTCCCTGCACCCCCTTAAGCGCATGCCACATCATCGCGAGTGAGGGGTAAGTCTCTTGGCTCCACATCAGCTGAGTCATTCTTGGTGTTTTCTCGAGAGTGCTAGTGCTCTGCATCAGAAGGCAAGGAAGAGAAGGAATAGAATTAGGTAGCAAACTGGACCTGGTGCAGTGGCTCACGCCTATAATCCCAGCACTTTGGGAGGCCGAGGTGGGTGGGTCTCTTGAGGCCAGGAATTTGAGGTCAGCCTGGCCAACAAGGCGAAACTCTGTCTCTACTAAAAATACAAAAAATTAGCTGGGCGTGGTGATGCACTACTCGCCTGTAGTCAACAACTTGGGAGGCTGAGGCACGAGAATCGCTCAAGCCCCAGAGGTTTGCAGTGAGCCAACATCAAGCCACTGCACTCCAGCCAGAGTGAGATTCAGTCTAGGAAAAAAAAAAAAAAAAAAAGAATTAGATAGCAAACTGGCACCAGAGTTAAAAATAAGGAAGGAGAGGCCAGGCGCGGTGGCTCACACCTGTAATCTCAGCACTTTGGGAAGCCAGGGAAGGCGGATCCCCTGAGGTCAGGAGTTTGAGACCAGCCTGACTATCATGGAGAAACCCCATTTCTACTAAAAATACAAAATTAGCTGGGCATGGTGGTGGCGCATGCCTGTAATCCCAGCTACTCGGGAGGCTAAGACAGAACAATCACTTGAACCCGGGAGGCAGAGGTTGTGGTGAGCCAAGATTGGGCCATTGCACTCCAGCCTGGGTGGCAGAGTGAGACTCCTTCTCAAAAAAAAAAAAAAAAAAAAATAGGGAAGGAGAGAATGGGATTGGGCCCCCGATGGTGTCCAAAACTGCAGATTAATAAAATCCCTTTTGCCTGTCTGGCTAATGTGTTTCACCTCAGGTGAGAATAGTGAGGCAGAGAAGAGGCTTGTATGTTTATGGACACAAGTAATACTTAACATTTTAAAAATCCTTTAAAGATGGCCCAAAAAAAAAAACAAATCAGGGCTTTAGGAATGACTTCAGCTTTCTCTGATAAAGCTGTGTGTAGAACTTAAGAATTTAAGAGATTAAGTAGGAAGGCTTGATTTTTGTAGATTCTGTTTCAAATTCAGCTATGTACCTTTTGGGTTGACCTATGGTTGAATCCACTGGAGCAATGATATGTTGAGAAATCAAAAAATGAATAGTTTATTTTAAGTAAAGGTTGATTCATGTATTTTGAAATAGGCATTGCTCAGCATCATTGCTGTTGAGACAATATCTCCTCAAAGCAAAAAAGATTCTCTTCTTTCTGGATGTGAGGATAAATGGAGGGTGGACCAGCAAGTATATCTGAAATCGCTGCAAGTCAATCAGCAATGCTTAAAAGGAACAAAAGCAGATAAACTCCAATCCAGTCTCAAAATGGTCACCACTCATTCCAATTCTCCCCAAAAGTCTCCTCAATTATACCTGCCAACTCTTTTTCTTTTTCTTTTTTTCTTTTTTTTTTTTTTTTTTTTTTGAGACAGAGTCTAGCTCTGTCGCCCAGGCTGGAGTGCAGCGTCCGGATCTCAGCTCACCGCAAGCTCCGCCTCCCGGGTTTACGCCATTCTCCTGCCTCAGCCTCCAGAGTAGCTGGGACTACAGGCGCCCGCCACCTCGCCCGGCTAGTTTTTTGTATTTTTAGTAGAGACGGGGTTTCACCGTGTTAGCCAGGATGGTCTCGATCTCCTGACCTCGTGATCCGCCCATCTCGGCCTCCCAAAGTGCTGGGATTACAGGCTTGAGCCACCGCGCCCGGCCATATACCTGCCAACTCTTTTTCTAGGAAACCCTGAATGTACACCTGATGAAAGTATTTTTCAGCCTTCTTAATTGTTTGCAATAAAAATAAGGCAGAATTATAGATGGATCTACAAAAACATTAAATAGAATTTTATGTGAGTGTGATGACTATTGTTTATATGAAATATTATTTAAATGTGTACTATGCACTGTACACAAAAACTTTATGGTACTTTTTGCTTATGATAATCTGCCATGAGGAAGAAAAGTGCCTATATTTAAAGCTTTTGTATTTGAGTCTTGTTTTTTGAAATCCTTACTTGTCAGCAAGTGTAGAAACTATCTCTACCAGTAATAGTAATTATACAGTTCCTACCTGAAAAATTATTAAGGAATTTGATTCTAAAGCAAGACAGAGGTAACTGTGAAATCCAGTCATATAGATTATTAAATGCTACCCAAGTTGTAGCTATTGAATTTTTGCAGTTTGAGGGATGTAGAACTTCGTATCAGAAGAGAAATTTCCTTTATCCCAGTTACATCTTATCTAAGATCACATAATTCTAATACTTGTGTTAACTTGACTCTTTTCAGTAATATCATTCGGTGATATCATTAAAAGGCAAGAGTTTAAATTTTTTTATTTTCTTTGTCCTTTCACGATTCTTCAATATACAATAATTAAAATAGTAGAAGAAGAGATTTTAAAATTAACCTCTATAAAATTAAAATGTTCTATACACTTTAAAAAGCCAAAGCCTCTTATTAAATTATTTTCAATGTATTGTTCATTTTAAAAAGAAACCTGTTTGATTTGGAGGTGAGGGGGAGGCTGTTTCTGCCATTATTTAGAAAAGACAACTTGAGAAATAAAGAAGATATATTTTAGTAGAAAATCATCCTTTTTTTATTCTAAAGGGGTAGACAGTACATAAATACAGAAAGGGTCAAAAACTGCTAAGGTGGTAACCATAAAATATGTCTTTAAAGTATAATTTTTGACTCAAAATAATAAAACTCTGAAAAGTTTATATATACCCAATATACTGAAGTAATTGGATTTACATCCTAAATATGATGGAAAGAATTTTGGAGTATGTTGAAATACAGATTATCTCAAAGATTTATCCTTGTGAAAGGAATGAAATATTTTGTAACTACTGTATACTTTTTTATCTGAAGATCATAAAATTATTTACTAACCATAACTAACCCTCCCAGTTCTCCCCACTGCTACTCCACATCCACTCCCAGGTCTTGTTGGAATGGGTACTGAGAAAATAAGCCAAGCTGCAGCTGGGTAACCATAGACATCCGGAACTTTGGTAACTGGACATCAGAATCTGCAGCTGGGTAACCGCAGACAACCAGATGAAAACCGCAAATTTTACTCAGAACTTTGGCAGATTTAGAAGGTAGTTGGTAGTGGAATACCTTAGTCATGGAGCACTCCTTTCAGTGGTTACTGTACTATTTTCACGCAGACTGCAGAAAATTAAGGTGTCCTTATTAGGTATTTTAAGAAGTTAGCTTTACCCACAGTCAAATTCCTAATCTCTAAGAGATTAAAGTTTATAAATTTGACTTCACATATACATGTTACTAATGTAGATATATTCTCTTCTCATTTTATCAGTCATGGAAGAATAAGACATGTGAATTAGTTTCTGCTCTTGAGTTCTTTGAAAAACTATGAAAGGTAATACTGATGTAATGTTGAAAAATATTAATAGGCCTTTCTTTCTTCTTGTGTGAAAAGGAATGCACTATTTACATATGGAGGCTCCTGTCAAGGTGATTCACAGAGACCTCAAGTCAAGAAATGGTAATGTAGTTATGTTTTTATTTTACCTATTTTATTACAAATTATATACACTTGCATGTAGAAATGAGCATCATGCTTTTACATATCTTTTGTAACCTACTATTGGACTCACTGCTGATACCATGGAAGCCTTTCTACTGTCAATAAATAACAAAATCCTTGATATTATTTGAGGAAGCTGCACAGCATTTCACTGTATAAATATAGCCCAGAATGTGGACATTTGAATTGTTTACATTTTTTCTCTGATAAGAAATGTTGGGCTTACTATTTCAGCCAAATTTTTCAAGACATCCCTAATTATTTCCCTAGAATCATTTTCTAAAAGAGATACTGCTGTGTCAAAGTGTGCAGTCATATATTTTTAGTCTTCTATTTTTAGGTGGCTTTGTGCACTATCAATTTTGAATTTTGTTCTTGTTGCGTCTGAATTGCATGGTGTAAATTGTTTGTGCCAGTCCTGCCTGTATTACCTGGAGTAGGGTGCAAAATGAGCCACATGTTTGGAAGTTTGGAAAGTAAAGGCTCTCTTTTTCTTCTTTCTCTTCTTCTGTACTTTCTAAAGTTTATTTATGGCCCTGTATTTTATAATTTGGAGGGTGAGCATTTTAAAATAACTTGCAGGATTAGACATTACCTTCAAGTAGGAGTGGTAACAGAATGCTTCTTCCGCTATGTCACTTCAGAGTTATCTGAGAAAGGCAGTAGGGTTATAGAACTAGCTAAACACCAGAGTTTGCTACTATTTTGAATACCCTCGTATCAATTAATTATTTACATGCTTTCTAAATGCTCCCTTTCAGCAAGGAGGAAGAGAACTCTCTATTTTTAGGAGATCTTTAATTAAAATGAGTATATGCTAATAGTGTGATCCTTAGAACAGGTAGTGATGACAAGTAGTGGAAGAGGACCAGGGAATGAATCGATCAGGTACCCTTGCACATGCCCCAGGACTGTGACGTTTGTGTGTGTGATTGTGTGTGTGTTTAGCAGGGCGTGAAGAGATGGGGGTGGGGAGGGAAGTTATCGGGACCTGCCACTCATCAGTAGTCCAGGTTGGCCCACCAATTTAACCCTGTCTGATTGTCCTTTCCTCTTCTAGGCTATCACACATTCTTTGGTTCTTCTTAGACATAAGCTTCCTGGAACTAAGCATTTTTGATATATAGTCAGCTAACAGGAAGTCATTAGGAAATAATCTAGACTATAGTAGAAAATATCAGTTTTATGAATTTGTAAATTTTCAGTTCATGCTCAGAATTTCAATTTAACTATATTGTTGGACTTCAGTATATCTTAAATCTTCTACAAAAGAGGAATGACTAACTAAATTATGGATTTATCCATGCTATCATTATGAAGACTATATAACAATGGAGAATGTCCCGATTTTAAAAAGTTACAGTTATATGTGTTACAGTTACTAAATAGAAAAACACATACACTCATATTGAAAGAATACAGAACTAACTTATAGCAATTCTTTTTCTCTTGGAAAGGTAACCAGAGTTTCACTTTCTGTGTTATGGGTTTTTTTTTGTTTTTTTTTTGAGACGGAGTCTCGCTCTGTCGCCCAGGCTGGAGTGCAGTGGCCGGATCTCAGCTCACTGCAAGCTCCGCCTCCCGGGTTTACGCCATTCTCCTGCCTCAGCCTCCCGAGTAGCTGGGACTACAGGCGCCCGCCATCTCGCCCGGCTAATTTTTTGTATTTTTTAGTAGAGACGGGGTTTCACCGGGTTAGCCAGGATGGTCTCGATCTCCTGACCTCGTGATCCACCCGTCTTGGCCTCCCAAAGTGGTGTTATGTATTTTTATAGTGGCAGTTTTTCTAATGAGCACTTGTTAATCTTATAATGAGAAAGCTGAATATAAAATTAATAATATTTACATTTCTATTTATAAAAGTTTATAGCTTAATACTTATAGTATCAGGTTTACCCTGAGGCAATTTTCAAATGTTATATCATACAAAGCTCATTTTCCCTCCTTGGTAAAATCATCGGTAACTCGTGAATATTGATCATCTATCATGTTCAAGGCACTGCACGGTTTACAAAAGAAACATCTGAAACAGTTCTTCAGAACTTTATCCTTGGACTCATCTCCTCTTATGCTCTGATCCCTGCACTCCCATAAAAGCCCTATTTACATGTTAACACTCGAAAACAGATCTCAACTTCAAAACTATATATCTATCTGCTGATTAGACACATCCACATAGATATTTGTTAAGACCCTAAAATATATTATATCCAAATTAATCTTTTCATTTTCTCGCTACCCCCAAAAAATCATCCCTGCGTTTCCTTTACCAAGTGGCAGTACTGTTTGCCCAAGCCAGAAATGAGATAAATAGTAGTTACTGTTTAAATCCAGAGCTCCTATTCTAACCATTAATCTGTATTGGTTCTTTATCTGATTTTATCCTTGAGTTCTCTTCCTTCTCCCCCAATAACCAGCCATTCATCAAGCCTAGGTGATCCTACATCGCAAACATTTTTTGACTCGGTCAACTTTTCTCCTGTCCTTTGCCACTGCCTTAGTACAGGCGTCCTCATCTGTCTCCTGGACCACAAAACCTTGAGTGCAAAGTGATCCCCTTGCCTCCAGGTCTATTCTTCTCTGACATAGTCTCCCCTCTGCACCTTTGCTCATTTCATTCCTCCACATAAAATTGTTCGTTGGCTTTCTCTTTCTCACAAGGGCTTTTCTTGACCTGGCCCCTACCTTCCAAAATTGCCATGCCTTTTTTGTCTGCTCCTGAGTTTTTGCATAGACTCTCTCTTCTGCCTAGGAAACTACTTTCCTCCCTCAGCTCTCCTCTTTCTGGTTAGCTCCTGTGTTTTTCAGGTTTTAGCATAAGCATCATTTCTTACAGGAAACTTCATCTGACCTCCCTTGACATAGATATCATTGTTCTTTGGCTCTATAGTTTGTTTGTTTCTCTCATCATGGAATCTATTCCACTTTGTTGTAGATGTTTATTTAATTGTCTCTCTGATAAGAATATAAACCCCCTGAGAGCAAAGACAGTGCCAGACTTGCTCACAGTCCTGTTCCACAGCATAGTACGTGGCCTTACCCACAGTAGCCTCAGCAAATATTTATTAAATGAATGAATGTATGAGCAAGTGAATGAATGAATATTCTCTCCACCTTTAACAAAAATCACTCAGTTGGGAGGAAACCCTACATATAATACGAAGTAGTAAAGCTAATGACTACCTCAGTGTCACATTGGCAGTATACGGGCAGAACCCAGGTAAAAATTTGGTTCTCCTAACTACTACTAATTTGTGCCTTTCTTATTGGACAGTACTGCATTTAGATAAAATAAATGTCTCAGAAGCCTTTTTAATCAGTACCTGATGGAATTAAGTTTTTGTTTTAATGTCAGCCCCCTTTTGCAGAATCCTCAATGCTGTAAATACATTGATTTCACCTTTCGTAATCCCATATTGAAGACAGAAATAGAAGTTTATGGTTTTTTCAGTAGAAAACAGCTCAAACCAATTAGATGATTGTCATAATTTATCCTTTTTTCTTTTTTAGTTGTTATAGCTGCTGATGGAGTATTGAAGGTAGGACTACTTCTTTCACTTTAAAAATTGTTAATTTCAGATGTAGATTTTTGTAACTAATAATTCCTTAATTAGCCAATAAGTAGAAAGTTGATACTGATTCCTGTCTCCTCAGATTTGTGACTTTGGTGCCTCTCGGTTCCATAACCATACAACACACATGTCCTTGGTTGGAACTTTCCCATGGATGGCTCCAGAAGTTATCCAAAGTCTCCCTGTGTCAGAAACTTGTGACACATATTCCTACGGTGTGGTGAGTTCATTTCTCATTTCTTGTTTACTAAAGGAAATACAAAAAGCAAACACTCTAGAGAAGAGGAGAGATACAGTTTAACATGGTTTTATTTTTATATGAGACTAGTGTACTGCTGGTGGAATGCCTGAAGCAGCACCACTGGAGAACGCTTCCTAGTTGCCAAAATGTTTAATCATTTTTAATCATCAGAGTTATTTTGTCCTGTGTTGAGAAGAAACCAACACCACTTACAAGCAACAAATTAAATGGAACCCGAGATAGTGTTGGGCTCCACTTTGCCTGAGAATTATTTTTTGCAGGGTGGTAATGTGACTGTAGACTATCTCTGTAATTTCAATGGAAATGTGGATCATTTGGAACAGGACTTCATTGTAATGGATTACTTAAACAGTATAAAATCACCAATAGATCTGCCAAGCGAGTTAATTACCAGGAAACTTTTGAGTCTCAACTATTAAAATGATTCATCAATTTCTGAAAGTCCAGAAGAAAATGCACTTAGCACTTACCAGATGACCTTGTCCATGTCTGCTGCCAGTCTTAGAGTAGCAGTGACTATCTGAAGCATGACTCTAAGACATTACATAAGAATCACAGCAGAACCACATAGAGAATTGACTAATGTGGGGGTGAAGTGCTCAAGGAATGGAGACCACAGGAATGAATCAGTTAAGGAGCAGAAGCTCCTGGAGGAGGAATTTGGAGATGGGCCATTTCCTGAGGAACAGGTTATACCTGCATTATCAGAGAGAAGGAAGTGAGGAGTGGGAGAGTTCTTTGCTGGAGGAAGGAATTCATTTGTTGCCTTTTGTTGAGGATAAACTTTTCCCTAAAATGTTATGTATTCTTTAAAAAGTCCAGAATAGTTTTGGAATTCCCTATCTTTACATCTCATACTACCCTGCTATTTATACTATTATACTGCCCTGCTATTTATACTATTATACTGCCCTGCTATTTATACTATTACTTCCTAAAAGGGCATTTTCATAGTACTGGGTAAAGAAGCAGTCTGTTTTGGGTCCAAATCAGCATGTCTCTTCGTCCTGAACTTTGTGTTTTCTTACCGCAGCTGGTAGCCAGTGACACAAGAGGAGATTCACGTTGTCAGACCTGTTTTTTTTTCTTTATTCAGTCTCTAGGTATTTAATGCTGGCTTCACAGGTTTTGAACTTGTTTCAGTGACTAGCTCTTTCTAAATCATATCACATCCTACGTATACCAAGTTAATAAAGATTAATTTTGTTAGCTATTGACAAAAATCACTTCAAGAATGAAATATATGTTTTTGGCTGAAGGCTAGAATTTTAAAGGTCAGAAGGCAACAATAATATCAGGCTTAATACCTGATACCCAAAAAAAGAAAAAACATTAATACCTGATATCCCTTGATTCTGGATGTTTCTTAAGAATGAAGACTATAAGCTATTACAGACAGTGATCAAATATTTCTCATTGAAAAAAAGAAAAAACAAAATATAAGTTTCAGAGGAGACTAGCTTCTAAAACTAGTCTCCTATGTCAAATGTTACTACATTCTAACCACCATACATTCATCTGTGGGATATTCTGAAAATGGGGTATTTGTAGCAATTGAAGACTCTGTAAGATTGTTTTCTCTTGTGAAAGTACATTCCTTCATTTATAACCAAACGTTTATTTGAGTCACACACCATCTGAGGGTAATTTAAATTTTTCTTATCCTGCTTGTTGGGAATGGCGTCTCATTTTGTCCTGTAGAAATAGGAAAAAGCAAAGTTTTTCTAGAAAGGACCGGATAATATATTTTTTTGGCTTTGCGGGCCACTTACAGTCTCTGTTGCATAGTCTTCATAGATGCCATAGTTGGTTTTTTGTTTCTTACAACCCATCAAACATGAAAAAGCCACTCTGTATTCTGCAGCAGGCCATCGTTGCAGGCACCTCTACGGAGCAAGACGGCTTGGGAAGATGAGCAGCATGGCTTAGGAACATGGCTTGTTTAGTCACTGTTCCAGCTGACGGTACAGAGTGGCTCAGTAGGAGCCCAGCACTCCCACTCCTTTCATGTGCATGTGTGTATAAATGTATATAAACATGTATGTTGGTGTTCTATATATAGGTATGTTATATATATTTGTTATAGTTACTGTAGATGGTTATAGCTTTTAAATTGTTTGGCACATTTATATGAACTAGAAGACTTTTGAGGTTCATTTTTGCACTTATGAGTCCACACACATACAGTGCTTTTACTTTTAAAATTCTCCCCCAAGTCTTCGAATTTCCTTATCTCAAAAATTTTTGACCTTAAGACACAACTATACATAGAGTGAACTTTTGGTCTCAATATTATTTCATGTATGAAAACAAACTTTATGCTGCCTTCTTTCAAAGCCTTAGAGTTGCCAGGGCTTTGGTGTGAAATGCACCCCTCTCCTTTTCCTGAGATGAAGTACAATCTTAGTACCAGTAGCCAAGCACAAATTCCTTTTCACACACAAACTGTAAAAGATGTTAAGAGGTGACTTCTGTTTGCAGAGCTTAGGATTTTTTTCCTGTATCATTTTAAAATCTCTTCATACATTCCACATTGACCCCATTTCTTAAACATAGTTTGAGTCAACCTTTCTGGAGCTGCACATTTTCAGTGTTTTTTATTAAAAATCTCTTCACTTAAGAAACTATGCACCACATTTCAGTAGAAGGGCTTGAACACGTCTCTTTGTGGATTAGCTTTTCTCTCTGCTTGTGTGCTGACCCTACCTTTGCTTGGTTTGGTTTGGTTTGGTTTTGGAGGGATTTAACAAACGCTTAACAAACCATCCTATCGAGTAATTTCACTTACTGAAATAAACTCAACCACCAGCCGCTGAGCATTTCCAGTGTTGCTCTGTATTTACACACTGGATGTTGCTCTGCAGAACCTGTCCGCCCCATCATGGGACGTGGAATATCAATTCTGCATTCAGGCTACAGCCTTCCCTTACCTGGTGGAAACAGAAATGCTACTTCAGCAAGTCTGTTTTAAAACAGCTTCTGCTGTGTGACTATCTTGAAGAGAAAGGTTTGCTTGGAATGCTGGTTTGCCTCTCAGATAGTTGTGTCAGTAAATCCATTCAGAAAAGTATACAGATGCTAATTTAATTATAAAGAAGAACTCAGGACTGTATATGTTGGTGCAAAAGCAATTGAAGTTTTGCCATTTAAAAGTAATGGCAAAAACTGCAATTACTTTTGCACCAACCTAGTATTTAATTCTGACCTCTTCTCATTCTGTTTGTTCTAAATAAACACCGTTAGTGAAAGAAAAAATACAAGGTATGCTTTCCAGCGACTTTTTATTTAAACAATCACAGATTTTTTTTTTTTAATGAAGAAAGCATTATGTGTTCAAAGTAAATGTTATAGAAAAGAGCAGGTGAGGATAGTTGTTAAGGCTGGGACCATTTTAGTTTTAGAAGTTTGTGGTCCATAAACTTGGAAAATTATACCTATTTTAATTCAAAATGTGGTTATTTTGAATTTTTTATGTCTTTTCAAAAATAGGTGAGTAGCCAAGACTCCTTTGTCAGTAGGAGCATTTGTTTGCATTAAATATCCCATTGTTCACTGGGAGTCTGTTCTGTTCATTGAAACCCCCTCTGCACACAGCAGTCACGCACAGATGAATAAGACCATTTAAAAAAAAGTTGTTTTTTTGAAATCCACCCAAAAAACTGCAATACATTTTTGGTTTTTGTTTTTCTAATTTTTTAGACTGCTGTAAGAATTTAGCCCCTACTACTTCTAAAACTACCAGCCCTCCCCAGGTTGATAAACCTTTGTTGCTTCTTAACAAATGGCAAGACTCACTAACCTTGTACTGCCTTAAAATAAATGTGCTGTGAATGCCAGAAGTGGATTTTATGATCCTTGCTCTTACGCTGGTAAACTTTGCTAGGCAGGCAATGGTTTCCCTCCATTTTATAAGAAATGAAATTTTTCTACCCTCTTATGAGAACTTCTCTTGGAGGACTGAACCAGGAAGAGTGTTTAGTACGTTATCCACAAAAAAAGGAAAAGCAAAAATCACTGAAAGAATAATTCTTCTGAGAACACAAGGCCTAGATATTCTTAAAAAAAAAAAAAAAAAAAAAAAAAAAAAAAGCTGTTCTAATGACAATGCAGAAAGGATTACCTTCTCAGAAGCCTCTCAGCCAAAACCAGCCTTGAAAACAGAGTGGCTGAAGAGACAGCATGGCTGCCTGGCTTGTCTGTGAGCACTGTTCCAGAACAAGCTGGGCTCAGGTAATGGCTTTCTATTGTTTGGAAAACAAAGGGCAGAAAAAGTACGCAGTCTTTTCCAAGTTTCTATTCTGTAAACTGAAAATAGAAATTTTCCTTGTGAGCATAGTTTAAATGTGAGGACGTCTCAATATAAAATGAGTCGGAAAATATTTTTAAGGTGAAAGATCACAATAATATTTGGCCTGAATCCCCATAACTGGTATTTTTAGGCATCATTTAATATATTTTTAAACCTTCAAGTGACTTCTTCAATAAAGTTACTTTTGTATGCCAAATGTCATTTTGTTTAGTGTGTAAAAAAAAAGCTGGTGTCTTATACCACCTACTTTTTGATACATTCCCGAATCCAGGGAATTAATAAAAGGAAATCATGAGATGTGCTGATACTGGAATAAAACTAAAGACCTCATTTGGGCTTCAGGACATAGCGGCTAATGACGCCACCTCAGACACTTTTACTAACTCCCTCAGCTGTCATAGCTCTTCAGAGACACAGAGGGAGTCAAATGAAACTGGCTTGTTTTTTTCTTTATTTTTCACAGTTAGAACTCTCAGAGAAATATAACTTAAATTTTATTAGATTTTGGACATTTTCCAGCAGAATATTTTGGAATCAAGAATGACGTAAATGTTTTTCTGGTGTTATCCCCCAAAACTCTTGGTTTTGCAATTTACTCCACAAAATTCAGTGTGTGCGTGTGTGCACACGTGCATCATACCTGCAGGCCAGACTCAGAAGGAAAGAGGCACCGCTCATCTGCGCGTTTAGGGGTCTGGAGCATTTGATTTATTGGAGGCTAACTCCCTGTTCCCATTCTCCTCAGGAATGCCACATCCATTAATTTACTTGCCCTTCATATCCTTTCCCCTCCCCAGCCCTAGCCCCCTGTGGAGTGGTAATTGCAGCCAATTGAGGGGCTCCATTTCCTGCTCAGCCCTCTTGCTGCCCGGCCTCCCTCCCTGTGTAGGTCAGGGTGATTGCATACCTGTTCTGGCTCTCACCCTTCCTTTACGTGTGGTGTTCACTAGAATTGTCCCCTTATGGGATGCCCCTTACCTTTTCCTAATCACTTATGTGACTCAAATAGAATTATTCAGTAGCTCCTCTAAAGGAGTACCTTACACACTTGATTAAAAGCCCAAAGAGGCTTCAGTGAATTTTTTTCTCCTGCTTGAGCAGCATCTGCCAATTTCCCTGATTTTCCTGCTAATTACCTTCGTATTAGCCAGAATTCATTTACTATGTTATGGTTCGAATGAGACTGAGCCCTGGCTGAGGAAACAGTGGATATGGAGTGAAAGGTTTCTATGATTTGCTTGACTAGAGTATGTGTGCTCCATCTACATTCCTATTAGAAATGAGCTTTTGTTTTTAGAACAAGGGAAATCTGAGTCGAAGCCACTGGTTCTCTTCCTGCTTCTGCCAGGGCGCCATACCTAAGACAGGGCCTGTCGCATTCTCTCTAGTACTGCCACTTGCCCTTCACTCAAATTAAAAGGGGTCAAGAGCCTGACCTTCAGGGCGAGCCAGCAGGTTCATATTCTGGCTCTGTCACTGGATAACTGAGTGTCTTTGGGTAAGGTTTTTTTTTAACTTTTTAAATAGTTTCCTCACCTATAAAATGAAGGTAATATGTATCCAATAGGATTGCTATTAATCATGGTAATATGTGAAAAGGGTATCTGGAATATAATAAGTACTCAATAACTTGTAGTGGTTTTTATTATCAGGACTATTACTGATAAAATTAGAATTGTTTTTGCACTTTACAGAGTATTGGTAGACTCACATTTTTGAACTCCATTTGTATAAATAGGGAAAAGTAATGTAGTATACAAATCTCCATTACTCAGTGTTTCAAGAGAACCCAGTTCAGCAGTATTCCTAGCATCCATTTGCTTTCTTTGGGCATTCCACTCAGATTTAATAATCATACTGATCTCAAGAACTGCACAAAGATGAACACACACATCAGCTCACATTCACAGTCAGCTTATGTGTATAGAAAGTGTTTATTACATCTTAGAGTACGGTATAATAGATTATATTGTAGGTAGATGAAAATAGATCCCTTAGACCGACTCATTTTGAGGGAGATTTCTCCAAAATCTAAAAGGTAACATGTAAAATCTAAATATGACAATTTTGCAAGTGTCTACCAATGTGGGGTGGGTGGGTTAGCCAGTGATTTGGATTTGGGGTTCAGTTATTTTTGATGAGACCATTATTGATCCTTTTAAAATACTGTTGAATTCCCAGTTATTATTTCCTAGACAAATATATCAGAAATTGAAGGTAGAAAGAGTTTTAACTAACAAAATACAAAATCTAATTTGTGAGAACATAAAAATTCTAATAATTTATGAGATGACATTAAATCAGTCAGGCCCATTGGTTTCATAAAATTTTAAGTCTGGCTCTAGATGTCCTAATTTCTAAACCAGGTTTTTTCTTTATAAAAAAGAACATAAAAAGTATTTAATATATGGAAGAAGTTGTGTGCATGAGCATAATTGTTTTGCCCAAGTTTCTACAGATGGGGTTGGTTGTGTCTGGTAATTAGATACAATTACATGTTAGATAAAGTTTCAGTAATATGTACCAAAAAATATAAAGTACAAGAATAAAAATTCCATTTTCTTTTTGTTCCAGGTTCTCTGGGAGATGCTAACAAGGGAGGTCCCCTTTAAAGGTTTGGAAGGATTACAAGTAGCTTGGCTTGTAGTGGAAAAAAACGAGGTAAGACTACGTTTCTCCATTCAGGTACATAGATCAGAAAACAGTATTGGGGTTTTGCAAAAGACTTTTTCATCTTCTTCAAATTGAAAGTAAGTTCACGCTTATGGAAAGATTAGCAGTAGGAGCTAACACAAAGGGTCAAAGTGATGTTATTCCTCATGAATGGACCCTTTACATCTAATTGTTGCAGCTTCACGTCGTGATGCTGTAGATCAAAAATTGTACAAGTACTGTACTAGTTTCTCAGTCTCAATTGTAAAACCTAGGGGTTTGTTCTTAGTGATGAAAGAAGCCATTGCGTCCAAGGTAGGGGAACAGTTTAACTCCATCTCCTGCGTTTAGGACATCTTTTTTACTGGCCGGGAGTTGATATATCTGTAAGAGACCTTCAGCTACTTCAACTTACCCCTCCCAGCAGGAGTCACTATAGTACAAGAAACTGTCGCTTAGATGAGAATTTCAAAAATAAAAGAAGAAAAAATAGTTTCAAAAAAGGGAAAAATTACAGTTTTGCCACCTACGTTGAACACTACATTGAAGATGAGCTCCTCACTGGAATTGGCGAGGCAGTGGCATAACTGCTCGCTTCTTCATGCAGAGCCTTTCCATTTCAAAAGAACTTCAGTGGCGTAAACACCGTTTGTGCTGTGTCCCCAGCCTCGCTTCTCTTCTTCCCACAAATTGAGGCTTTCAGTTAGTTGGACCTATGAGCCTACATCAGAGAACATGGTACATTCATATCAAAGAGAGCAACTACATTTTGAAAGGTTTAAAATTGTGACTGAAACGCACAGCCATGGAAATTCTCAGCATAAGGATGAAGCCTCCAATATCAAGGTATTATGAGAACTTAGATCATGTAATGGAAGCAAGCAGTTGTCTTTGCAATGCAAAACTACTTTATTTCACAAAACTTCTTCATTTCCAAATCTTATCTGTGCTCTCCACAAAGGGTAAGACTGCAACCTTAAATAAAATAATTTGCAAAAAGGTGAATATATAAAAATATTCCCTTTTTAATGCTCTAAAAGAGTTAGATTGATCTGCTTCCCAGGTGAGTGCAGGAATAAACTAGATTAATCAAAAAGCTGCTATTGACTAGGAGAAACCAAGTTTCCATCTTTTAGATCACATAATCCAAAGTTACCATATAATTTTTCCTCCTGATTCATTGGGAGTGGATGAAATGTTGATGATAGCTGAAACTGATGGGAAAGAGCTGCCAATTTAAGAAATGAAAAGGAGTTATATGCAAGAATATGCCTTACTCATTGTTTCACAGGAGCTGTTCTGTTTTAATTAAAAGTGATAGTAATTACTCATGTGCTATTAAATAAGATCTTACACACAGGATAACTTATATTGTCATAATATGAGGACACACATGTTTCTGTTCTATTTCTTTTGCCAGTGAGATGATTAGAGATCTGGTTCTGGGTTTACAAATGAAAGCAAAGAAAATTACTGACCTTGTGTAGACTCTGGAACCAAAACATCCAGTGTAATCTTTTCCCTCTGCACTATTCCAAGATAAACTAGGAGAAAGGTTTTTTTTGTGTGTGTTTTTTTTTTTAAAAGCTAACTGGACCCTCCAAATATGTATAAGACAGAATAATTAATATTTTTAAATAATAATGTATCTAAAGGGTGGCAGAATAGATAAAAATTTTAAAGTACTCTTTAAAACATTGGAGTATCTGTGAAGGATTTTTAAAGCTGAAGAAAAAAATGAATTTAGAAGCTGCCTGGATAGTTGACTTGAGGATTGGAATCACCCATGAATAACCTTCAGAACCTCTTCAATACTGTACATGCAGAAGCAATCTTTTTTCTCCCCGGAGAGCCCAGAAAGTAGACTTTACTATTTTATTCATGGTGTGTTCTGATGATCAGCTAATAACTGATGAAGACTACTCAAATACTTCCCACACTGTATTCATTAACTATTATGGTAAGTTGAAAAAAGCCTACATGGTGAAATACATTTTCTCAACTTTCTAATGAATTTCAGTAAAATTGGGTATTACAAGGATATTTATCTGCTGTTCTCATTCTGTACAATATTTATTTGTCAAAAATACGGAAATTAAGTTTCAATGTAATTTTCAATATCATCATTCAAGAAGGTATCTTCATTTCACCTCACAAATGGAGGTAACCATTTCCAAAATAAATTCTGTTGACATAGCATTAAGATAATTCACAAGGGTTTATTTCATTTCATTACAAAATTGAGGCTTTGACTTAAAGAAATATAATGTACCAAATCCCTTCAACTTCTAATTATTTTACTTTATTTTTACTATTGAATATTTTGGGTTATGGGTTGAAAAGAGAAAGTCGTATTTTTAACAGGCCTCATTTAAATAAAGAATGACATGTTCAAGTGTTCAGGAAGACATTTTAAGTGTTATCTAGTCATCTATAATACCTATATCCAAGTATTAGAGTTGTCTTCTTTTAACTTTTTATTTTGAAATAATTATAGATTCACACGAGTTTTCAAAAATATTACAAAGAATCAAAAAATTACCTGGGTGTGGTTGTGCATACCTGTAGTCCCACCTACTGGGGAGACTGAGGTAGGAGGATCCCTTGAGTCCAGGAGGTCAAGGCTGCCACCATTATCACACCACTGCACTCCAGCCTGAGTGACAGAGTGACACCCTGACTCAAAACAGTTTTTTTTATTTTTAGTAGAAACGGGGTTTCACCATATTGGCCAGGCTGGTCTTGAACTCCTGACCTCAAGTGATCCACCTGCCTCAGCCTCCCAAAGTGCTGGGATTTATAGGCATGAGCCACCGTGTCCAGCCAAAAAAGTTTTTTAAATTAACAAAAACTAAAGAAATTTGTGTACTCTTCACCCAGCTTCTCTCACTGGTGAAATCTTACATGTCTGTAGTATACGGTCAAGACCAGGGAATTGAGATTGGTGCATTGCTTTTACCCAGACAATAGACCTTACTCATTTTCACCATTTAAGATTACTTTTTGCATCTATAGAAAAATCAATACTTTCTAAAAATTATATCTGAAGATCTTTGCTTCTAATCCCTTAATAATAAAATGAGATGTTTAAGCAATCATTTTTCTAATATTAAATCCTATTAAAACTAGATTCATAAAGCACTGCTAAACTTTACAAAGTAAACAATGAACCTTTGTAGACGGCATGAAATTAAGAGGGCATTACTCATACATTTTTTAAATGAAACAGATAGGTATATTTGCTTTTGTCATTTCCATGGAACTCAATCAGTGATCATTCAGAATGTTCTGGTAGCATAATTTCTATTTTTATAAATACTTAAATTCTGACATATAAGGTGTTCTAACTAACAAAACTATTTGACTAACATAGAAATGTTCATAAAAATCCACTGTTTTTGATTATACTTTAGAAAAAGATAAAAACTTGAGTTAAAAAAAATTTTACGTCTTATGTAGAAAATGGTGCAAAAATGAATATGGTCCTTAAAAAATGTCATGCTTAGTTTAGTGATTGGGAAATATTTTAATTTGAAACTTTTATTTAAAAATATTGAAGTTTTAAGTAGTATTGCAAACCTGGTGCTAAGATCTGGTTATTTCAGAATGTTTTCATATATTAGGAATGCCCACAGTTATGTAATCAGGACTTAAATACTTTGAATTCTATTTTGAAGTACTTTTTAATGCACCAAAATAATCCATTGCATGAAGTGTCTGAGTCTAGATTTAACCGATATTTGACCACGTCAGATTATGTAAAATAATTGTGTCTCCTTGTGTAATGACTTCGATGTGGTATCTGAACAGTTTTTCAGTAAGAAAAGATCACAGAAATGATCATCCTCCGTATTCAGCCAGCTCACATTCAGTTCTCAGGAAAATGCTGAGACAAAGTTGTATTGAAAAATGTTACCATTGACGAAAACTCATTATTTTTAGTTACAGAGTACATTCAAGTGCATAATTGGAATTATAGTCTATTTTTATTAGTTCCCACCTCCCAACCATTTTATATTTTAAAAAGTAAACACCTGAATTTTTTTTTTTACCTTCATCAAAAGGTCTGCAGTTTACATTACAGTAAAATAATAGTACAGTTTAATACATCTTGTTCTATTCTGTGAAATCACAAGACTAGAAGTTTAAAAGTGCTTAGCGCGGCCTTTAGTTCCGAGAGAGTTGTTTTGTTTTTCAACTTTGCTTTGCTTTGATGTTAGGATTATCTGTAATTCAAAATACAGTTTGTCAGTTTTCTTGTCAGGGCAACTATGTTTCTAGTTCCTCATAGCCTCCCCCAAATCCAGCTAAATTCAGTTTCAAGTTTTTATTTGCAAAACTTCTTTGGCAAACAAAACTGTGGAATAAGTCTTAACACTTCTTAGTACAGCAGTTCTCAACTCCATCACACCCAATGCTCATTTTGTACTAACTATGTTAACAACCCCTTACACTCCCTTGCGGTGAAATTCAAAGGTAATACAACTACCTACAGACATCATATTGTAAGTTAACATAATGCTTTAACTGTAATATAAAAGAGAAATAAATGAAAGATGTTTTCCAGTGTACAAATGCTCAAGCATGACCACACCAGAGGAGATGATGGAACAGTTTTAGGGGATAAATAGAACTCAGCAGCTACAAATGCATCCAGATGGAGTTGGGTTGTATTAACGACTCCAGTGCTGGGAATAGCACTGTTGTTGTTGATATTTGTCAGAAATCTTGATAAAGTTATGAATCATGCAAGAATTAATAAGCCTTTGATTTATTTCATTTGGTAGATGCATTCTGCAAAGTTCAGTGTATCTTAAAACTGTTCAAAAAAATACTTTGTGTTTATTTGTAAGTTAGAGTTAGATTCCAGGCCCAGAAAATTATAAACCTCATTGTTTGCTTGTTTTACTTACATGAATGTAAATGGGGCATTTGAAATTTTGTGGGATACAAGGGAGTTCTTGGTTATGCAGGATTTTGTGGTATATTGAATTGTCTAGCATTCCTGACCTGTTATACTTAGAAGTCGGTTGCAACCTACCAGTCTCTAAAACAAACACAAATGCTTCTGTGGAATAGAGGCACCACGAGTTCTGTGAGAAGCACCACTGTAGGATGTTAGAACAGGACCATCCTCATGTTATAATTTTTGTTATATCGGGTCCTTAAAGTATATGGGTTTGACCAAAACAAAGCCATAATCAGTCACACATTCAGAATGTCTTATCTACCACTGAGAAATGAACAGTTTTTTAAATTATCTCTGTGATCTGTGCTCAGATATTTTCAGAGTTGTATACCTGCTGCCAAAGCTAAACTAGTTTCTAGTTACCTGGCCTATTTACATATATCGTAAGTTGCCTATAAAAGCACAGTGATGTGTGGTTTTATATTTAGTATTTAAGTTCCGACTTGCCCCCTCCTACTAGAGTTCTGTTTAGATATTTTATGTTTTGTTGCATTAGTTGTACTGAACCTGACTTCTCCGTTCACTACAGTTCCCTTTCAAGAATAAGTATGAGTCTTTAGAGATTACAAATCTAAACATAAATTGTCACCTGTCACATATTAATCAATGGAAGCTTTAAACTTCATGCCTTGATTATGTTCTTAAATTAACTGTATTATGACCCTTCAAATAGTGTTTGCTGACATGAATGAATAAATCCCTGTGCTTTATTTTGTTTTCTTTCCCTGTCTCTATTGTAGAGATTAACCATTCCAAGCAGTTGCCCCAGAAGTTTTGCTGAACTGTTACATCAGTGTTGGGAAGCTGATGCCAAGGTATACATATGTATTTTTGTTATTGTTTAGAATTCTGAAATTTCTCTTGCTTGGCTTTCAGTTTTTAAAACTTAAGGTAATAAAATTCATTACAAAGCAAAGCTGGATTGATGCCTCTGTGAGCCCCAGATTAACTGTTAAGGTTTTCTGTTGACATCTGCTTAATCTTGATCTCTAGAGACTTATTATTAACTCATTCTTATAGCACGCTTTGACATTCTGGATTCAGTAAAAATAATTTTATTATTTTGTTTTTAATTTTTAGTAATAACTTTTGCACCTGTATGCTATTGAGATGGCTGAGACACAGTACTTATAATATGCCAGGCACTGTTTCAAACACTTTATGTATGTTAACTCATTTGTTCCTCAGAATGTCTCTATGAAATACATGCCTCAATTATCCTCATTTAACAGAGGAAGAACCAAGACATACAGAGGTTACATCATGAGCTCAAGGCCACACAGCTAGTAGGCAGTAGAGCTGGACATGAACCCAGGTAGTAGGGCTGGACATGAACTAGGTCTGGCACAGTCCCTGCTCTTAACCAGTGCACTGTTTTGCTTTTCTAGCCAAAGAGCAGACAAAAGTAGCACTTCTAGAGCATCTTGATATGTACTCCCTGTCCAGCTTCAGTGATGTGTTTGAGCTCCACATTAGAGTTGGAGAAATTCCAAGGCTTAGGCTTTCATGCGCTTATCACATTTGAGCATGAAGGGCTCATATCCTTTCCCTGCAAAGATGATTTTAAAAGACTCTCACATACATATGGAAATATTTACAGATGAAATGATAGGCTAGTCTTGGATTTGCTTCAAAATAAAGTGAAGGGAAATGGATGATGGTATAGATTAGACAGGATTGGCCATGATAATTTTTGAAGCTGGGTGATAATATATAGAGGTTCATGATATTGTTATCTCTACTTTTGTGTATTTTGGAATTTTCTATAATGAGTTAAAAATAAAAAATATTCTCACAGATTAAACATTAGAATAAGAAAGCAGTTACACTCAAAGGAACAACAATTTTATGGTTGAAATCTGTCCAGTTTTTTGTGGAAATAGAAGTATTACAACTGATCTTTTAAACAGAGACTAAAAAGAAAGACTAAAGAATCAAATTTCTTACTGAATTTAAACCCTGTTCCAATCTGACCCCCAAGAAGAATGGCCATAAAATATTGTCTGTTCTTCTACAATATGTTTCTTTAGTGGGAATAACTCAGAAGCAGTTGGTGACAGTGGAGACTGGGGACTATGTTAGTATAACACAGAATTCATGTTGATTGTTCATAATGTTTCCCAACACATTGTTCCGCACTGAGCACAAAGTGTAATAATGCAGCCAACAAGGCAGCAAGTGACCAGTGCTATGAAACCTATTCACTCCACATGCTCCTTCTTGACTTGGCTTAGCTTAACTTGGAAGAATTTGTTGCTGGTTCTCCCAGCAACAAACTGCTGTGTACATGTTGCAAAATCTTTGCTTTCACTCCTATTCTTTAGACTTCCCTTGCCCTTTTTTTAAGTAGAGCCCTAGATATTCCTAGTATTATTTTTACTAAAGAATCGTGTTTTTAAACTGTGTTAGTATTTTATTTAGGATTGTTGTTCTTTTTATTAGTATTTGATGACACAGTTGCATGGTTTTTAAATGGTCTGCCCTACTCCGATTTAGGCCTTATAATTTTTAGTACATGATTTTGCAGAATAGGGATTTTTAAGCATTAAGAGAAATGCCTATACTTTGCAACTAATTCAGTAGAAACTATAAGCAGGTATTTTCAAGCTTGCTTTAAAACATTTATTTTATACTGTTAAAATGGTATCATACTACCCCTTCCCTGTCCTTCTTACTAGTTATATGTCCATTGTGATGTGTAAGTCATTTTGGACATATGTTTCTCTGTGATGCATAAATAGAAATTTTGCCTGAAATTATTTGCATTGAATTTGATTATTGCTACTAGATCTCTATAATTGTGATTATATTTCAGTATGCAAAGCAAGTTTTGAATTTCTTAATTGGGTGCTCAATACCACATTAATTAAAATTCTAAGAATGTACATTTATGGTACATTGATTAAATTATACTGTAAGCGCCTTACACAACAAGAACATTAGGCCCAGTGTTGAAACCATGCAGGTATGTCTTTTATATGTGGTAAGCTAACCCTTCTTTAGGACCAAAGAAATCCTGCGTTCCAGCCACATGAAGTATAAAGGAAGTTTAAGATTGATTTTTAGTTTCTAAATCCGTGACATTTTATTCTGATTAAACAATGACATGTCCCCTGTATTTGATTTGGTTAAATACCTGGCCACAGCCCACATTTCCAACTCTCTCATTGCTGATCTCCTCTAGACACACTTACATACTTTCATTCCCAAACCTGTTGTCTTCGTTCTTTTCTTTCTCCTCTGAATATTTCATCATCAAATCTTCCTTGATTATTCTATTTATCCCACCTCAGGCTTAGCACTTCTTTTCCTAAACCACAGTCTGGGCCTTACCTGGTACAGCTGTATTTTTAAAGATATATTTTCTTCCTAGATGTACTGAAGCTTTATAAGGGTATAGAGGTAATTGTTACATGTGTTTCCCTATCGCACATTACATCAGTTTGGAAAGTGGATGCCCAATTTGTTGTTGCCTGAAGTAGCCAGACCACAGTACATTTCCTGAGAGGTACATCATTTTCTGGCTAGAAATATGTAGCAGTTCAACCAGAAGTTAGTGCCAGTCCTATGCACATATGTACAGCAATAGTTAATTAAAGTACTTTCTTTTTTTTAAAGTCCTTAGATTTTTAGAGTATTGACATCTAGATTAAAATATTCAGCCCACCTGTAGAACTGGTGTTCTTTTGCAATGAGGGTCGGGGCGGAGGTGGTGATGTATGCAAGAGGAAGCTGATATTACGTAAATGTCAAGTCCTTCTAGTGGCTTACAACAGGTGCTCAAAATATTTTATTGAAGAGAAGGAGAAAGAAAGGAAAGGTGGGTATTGGTTCAGGTCCTAAAATGACATTTCCAAATAGGGAGAAAAATAAGTTGGCCTGGTGCGGTGGCTCACGTCTGTAATTCTAGCACTTTGGGAGGCCGAGGCAGGTGGATTGCCTGAGCTCGGGGGTTCGACACTAGCCAGGCAACACAGTGAAACCCCGTCTCTACTAAAATACAAAAAATTACCTGGGCGTGGTAGCACGCACCTGTAATCCCAGCTACTTGGGAGGCTGAGGCAGGAGAATCACTTGAATCCAGGAGCCGGAGGTTGCACTGAACCGAGATCGCACCACTGCACTCCTGCCTGGGTGCCAGAGCAAGACTCCTTCTCCAAAAATAATAATAATAATAAGTTGAAGTCATAAATTCAATAGGAAGTAGTGTCTTACCCTTACGTGATAAAAGATGTTGAAGAGTTTAGGAACAGAGCCCTTGGTTCTGTAACTTCCTGTGTGATGCTGGGCACTTCCTGCTCTTCTGAGACTTGTCCTTACCTATAAAATGAAGATAACAAATACAGAAATAATGTATGTAGATGCTTCATAAATGGTCCCAGTTTTTATTTTAATTTTTTTGAATAAGCAAAATAATGACTAAAAGGAACGTAATCCCCTTCAGAGGAATTTATATGAGATCCTAGACCAAATATGTATTCTGTAACCACAATATTCATAGAATAGTATTACCACAAAAAATCTATATTGTTATCACCTCTTAAATGTTCACTTTGATAACCTCTATCCAAGAGTAGGTGCTGACTATAAAATCAAATTTTTTCTAGGGATGCTGGTCATCCAATTACAGAAGAGTTTCTACCTTATTTTAAGAATGATTAAATGTAGGGAAATTATTCTTTAAAAATTCATTAGCTCCTCCTACTGCTTTTCCTTGCAAAATGAAAATCCTTTATTATATAATTAGCTCTTATGCAAATGATTTAAAACATTTTTCTGGCCAGGCACAATGGCTCATGCCTATAATCCCATCACTTTAGAGGCTGAGGCAGGAAGATCACTTGGGACAAGGAGTTTGAGACCAGCTTGGGCAAGAATGCGAGACCCCTCTGAACAAAAAACTAAAAAATTAGCCAGCCATGGTGGCAAACACCTTTAGTCCCCACTACTTGGGAGGCTGAGGCAGGAGGATTGGTTGAGCCCTGGTGGTTGAGGCTGCAGTGACCTATGATCACACCACTGCATTCCAGCCTGGGCAACAGAGCAAGACTCTGTCTTAAAAAAAAAAAAGGCCGGGTGTGGTGGCTCATGCCGTAATCCCAGCACTTTGGGAGGCCGAGGCGGGCAGATCACGAGGTCAGGAGATCAAGACCATCCTGGCTAACACGGTGAAACCCCGTCTCTACTAAAAATACAAAAAAAAAAAAAAAAAAAAAAATTAGCCGGGCATGGTGGTGGTTGCCTGTAGTCCCAACTACTCGGGAGGCTGAGGCAGGAGAATGGCTTGAACCCGGGAGGCAGAGCTTGCAGTGAGCCAAGATCATGCCACTGCACTCCAGCCTGGGCCACAGAGTGAGACTCCGTCTCAAAACAAACAAACAAACAAAAAAATCATTTTAAAACCCGATACGTGCTGGGAGAAATTAAGAGGAGGACAAAGTTAAAGAAGATAAATAGAACACTTTTCAAGCTTCCTACTTAAGGCATTTTCCTCTTTGCTTATTAGAAGGCTTAATATATATCAGTAACATTTATCTATGTATGCCCTTTTCAAGGAAAGACACAGACACACACATGCACACAAGTGCCCTTGAAAGAGAATAATAATGGCAGAACTCAATGTATATCCTAGGTTTTTATATTTCTGAGAAATGGAAAAATTGCTTTTCTTAGTAATGTAGGAAGCACTTAAATCCTGAGAGCAAGCCACGTCAACATTGTTTCTTCTTGTTTTTGTGCTCTTAAATTAAAATGCATGTTTTAATTGCTGCAACTATAATTTGTTCAGTAATGGTGTAATTATGAGGCATGATGAAGAGAGAATGTGCATCATCCTTTTTATTATCTTTCTCTATTTTTGTTTTAACCTTTTGTCTCAACCTTGGCTAGAGTCTAAAGAGACAGACTAGAATAGTTCTAGTTACTGCTAGCTGAAGAAACACACTTAATGCTCATTTCTAGTGAACAATACCTTACAGTGTCTTAGCACTAAAGCCAATTATAACCGAAAATAAATATTGAGAACAGTGAAGTTATGACAGCTTTAAAATTGGGGGATTTTCTTTCTTTTTTTTTTTTTAACTTTACTTTTAGGGTCAGGGGCACATGGCCAAGTTTGTTATGTAGGTAAATTGTGTGTCATGGAGGTTTGGTGTACAGATTATTTCCTCACCCAGGTGATCAGCATAGTACCTGAATTTTTTTTTCTGACAAACCAATTTGGAAAATTCTATTAGTTCCAATAGATTGATAGGTAGATTTCCCCCCAACACTTTATCATAAAAATTTTCAAACAAAGAAAAGTGGAAAGAATTTTACAGTGAACACTAACATGCCCACCACACACAGTCTACCGTTAACTTTTTACCAGCTTTATCACGTAGGTTTTTTAAAGGACTTCACTGTTTCCTTTTAGGAGTTCTTAATCATAACTAAAAGAGAGAATTAGTGTTCTCCCTTCCTGGAGAAAAACATGAATTATCCCAACCTTAGGCCACATGATAGAAAAACAGCATCTGAATCTCTCCATGTGAATAGTTCACTGAGAATAAAGAATACAGTTCCCTAAACCTGAGTCACCTGATGAGTGTAAAATAACTACATCAGGACATTGCATCATGTTTTATTTTGTTATGGTGGGTTGAGTTTATTACTATGCTTGTAGTATCTACGTTTTCTCTTAAATATCTCCTTTCTTAAGTCCCAACAAATGATTACTGATTTTCTCTTCTTCAGAAACGGCCATCATTCAAGCAAATCATTTCAATCCTGGAGTCCATGTCAAATGACACAAGCCTTCCTGACAAGTGTAACTCATTCCTGCACAACAAGGCGGAGTGGAGGTGGGTAGCCCCGACACCAGGCCACAGCGTCTGGCTTTGAAAGACCATCACTCGTCTCAATGAAGAAGAGAACCAGAGATCTGAATGACAGTCCTGATTTCTGAGCATAGTTTAGGGGAGAAATAAAAAAGGTTTTTTTATGATTTTGGAAATCTTATAAGTCCTGAATTTCATAAGTAAGCAAGAAATAGTGTTTCTCCAAGCTTGTTGCCTTATTGAGGCCGGGCACAGTGGCTCACGCCTGTAATCCCAGCTCTTTGGGAGGCCGAGGTGGGTGGATCTCCTGAGGTCAGGAGTTCGAGACCACCCTGACCAACATGGAGAAACCCCCGTCTCTACTAAAAATACAAAAAATTAGCCGGGTGTGGTAGCACATGCCTGTAATCCCAGCTACTCAGGAGGCTGAGGCAGGAGAATCACTTGAACCTGGAGGCAGAGGTTGCAGTGAGCCGAGATCTCGCCATTGCGCTCCAGCCTGAGCAACAAGAGTGAAACTCTGTCTCAAAAAAAAAAAAAAAAAACATTGAAATCATATCTTCTGAGACAAAAGATGGTTACCAGACATTTCTCTGTGTTTATGCTTTGTTAGGAAGCTTTGTTCTCTGTTCCGTAAGAAACAGGAACACTGTTTACCTTGAAATTTGCAGAGCACTGTGTCTGCTAGTGGAGGGGGACAGGGAGACTATAAAAAATACTCTTAAAAGAAAACTTTGGATGTCATAAATACTTTCAAAGCTTGTTGAATAAACTTAATAATGAGAAAATTGTATGAGTGGAAGAGTAAACCCAGGATGAAACATTTGAGCCAGGTCACATGATGTATGAATATAAATAGCATGTTTGGAAGCTAACATTATTCCCCGCCTGACTCAGCAGAGATTTAGGTAACTTCATGTCTGCTCCTGATAGCCGTGGGCAGTAACATGACGCCTTACGCCATCTGCTGATGCCAAATGAATACTGCATGCACTTTGAAAATTACTGCGTTGTTTACTCCTGTTGCTAGATACTTCTTTGGGCTGTTTGTTGTTTTACAATAACCTTATTTGTTTTTATTCCTTTGAAATATCTATCTAGGGCCAGTGAGGTAAATGAATTTTTATTTAGGGATACAAAAATTATACAGTGAGCTCAAGTCTAGGTATAACAGACTTTTTTCCTGGGCTGAGATAATCAACAAAACAAAACATGTAAGTAATATTTGTTTTTTGCAGTAAGAGATGAGTATACATGTCATCAGATCACTCTCCTCTCCTTTAAAATCCATATATGAGTTCCCATTGCTCTTAAGACAAAGACCAGAATACTTGGCACAGTGGCTCACGCCTGTAATCCCAGCACTTTGGGAGGCCAAGGCGGGTGGATCACTTGAGCCCAGAAGTTCAAGACCAGCCTGGGTGACAGAGCAAGACCTGGTCTCAAAAAAAAAAAAAAAAAAAGGACCAGAATACTTACCAAGACTCACAAGACCCTCAGTACTCTGGCCTCACCAGCGTCAGCTTAGGATCATTCTTCCCTTAATTTCTGGCTTTCAGTCCCTCAACCAATGCATATTTCTCCCCATTCAGGGTCTTTACAAGCACAGTTTCCTCTCTTTAAAACTTATCCCATTTCAGCTGTGAACCACGCCTGCCGTCACACCCCACCTTAACTCCTGTTCATCATTCACATAGCAGTTGAATAATACATCTGCAGGGAAAGGCTTCCTGACCCCAGGCCAGATCAGATTCCACTTTATGTGCTCTGACAGCATCTCCTTCATAGGCTTTACCGCTATTGGAATTAAGAAGTAATTTGGCAGTTAGTTGTTTAATGTGTGTCTCACGGGCTGAAATGTGAGAGAGGCAGACAATCACGTTTGCTCATCACTCACAGCATCAAAATGTGCCTTGAACACAGCATTTGCTTAGTAAATATTTGGGGAAGCAAGAGAGAAAATTACCATGGTGGTAATAATATAAAAAGAGATTGTGATATTATACAAGAGAATATAAATATGTAAGTTAATTTGTTTGCCATGACAAAAGTACTTCTTATATTCATTCATTCATTCATTCATTCATTCATTATCCATTCATTGAACTTCTGCTGGTGTGAGAACAACTGGTGCCATTCTGGTACTGGGCTGTAGCAATGAGCACAAGAGTCCCAGGGCACATGGAGCTCTCCAGCCCAAGTGTCCAATGTTAAACTATTAAATATATTCAAAACGATCTCATTTCTATTTTGACAAGTATCATGACAGAGAAATATACTAGAGAGCAGATAACCATGAAATCTGATCTAGTCCAAGGACATGGTAAAAGGATTCTGGAGAAAATGCTATTCGATCTATTATCGAAGGGATTAGTAAGATTTTAATACCAAGATAGGGAGTCTTTTAAAGTATGTCAACAAGGCCAGGCGTGGTGGCTCACACGTGTAATCCCAACACTTTGAGAGGCCGAGGTGAAAGATTGCTTGAGCCCAGAAGTTTGAGACTAGCCTGGGCAACATAGAGAGACCTCATCTCCACTCACAATAAAAAAAATTAGCTGGGCATTGTTACTCTAACCTGTGGTCCCAGCTACTCGGAAGGCTGAGGTGGCAGGATCGCTTGAGCTGGGGAGGTCGAGGCTGCATTGAGCCGAGATCAGGCCGCTACACTCCAACCTGGGCTACAGAGTGAGATCCTATTCAAAAAAAAAAAAAAAAGAAAAGAAAAGAAATGAGAAAGCTGTGCAAAAATGTAGGGACACTTCTTCAGCAAAGCATCATTGAGAAGGGTAAACCAGAAATGGTATAAAGTACAATAGAGAATAAAAATAAATTAAAAATGATTATATCTCCATACACAGAGTAATAAGGTCATTCCTAAAATCACAGGTCTGATAAATGATTTCAAAGTAGAGCCTACAGTCTAGTTTGTTTAGAATGATTCTATTTTTTATAAAATATATTATTGTGTATATGTACACAGAGAAAAGTATCAAAAAGTCAGTGTTATCAGTGGGTAATGGAATTATACAGAGTGTTTTTTATTTGTATATCTTTATTTCCTACTTCTTCCACATTAAACATGGACTAGTTGCATGATAAATTGAATTTTTAAAATGCTTGAAGGTGAAAGTGAGGGAAATGAAACTGATGATTGACAATGGGGGAAAAAGGAGGTAAAATACAGTGACGTATTTTAGTAAAAGGAATACAGTTGCCTAGGGGGCCTCCTCATCTTTCAAGAACTGTTAATCCTGTTCTGAGAGCTGGAGAGAGAATATATATCCTGACCCAAACCAGTAAACCACAGTTTGAGAAGCAGCAGAGCTGTTTTCACTGAAGTAGGCAATTGGTTAAAAACAGAGAGGACTATAATAGTAATTTTAATAATAATAAACACAGTTGTCACTTATTAGGTTTTTACCAGATGCTTGTACTTCATTTAGATTTTCTTTTTTAATCCCCATAGCAACCCTAAATTATATCACAGATGCAAAGGTAAATTGAGTAACTTGCTCAAAATCATACAGTACTGAGAACAGAACCCAGGACAGAATACAGTAACAGAACCTGGGTGGTCTGGTAACACAGCCTGCCCTTGCACCCATGCTGTACAGTGCGGTTACTAGACTTGTGGCCATTGTCATGCTGTCTTCTCATTAGTATGCAATATTCACTTGACTGAATTCCTTTTTAGCTAAGAGAAATATTATAGGGCATGATCATTTTAGGTTATTAAGGTGTCTAACTCAATATGTAAACTCCTGAAAAGAATTATGTTTTTTTCAGATAATCTCAACATTTCAAAAGACAACACATTCGAACTACTTCCTCTTCCCCCCCAACTTTTATCTAGTGTCTGAAACCACATGACTAGTGTCCAAAGAGTGTTTTAGTAAATTAGAGTCACAGTGATCACAGTGAAGCCTGATTCCAATCCTGCTGTGGTGTTTCTGGCAAATGATTATTTTCTGGTAGAGCTTCCTCTACACATAGACCAGATGCAACTTGTATTTTTAGAAAACTGAATGGTTATTCTGAAAACTCTTTTTAAAACTACATTATTAAAAACCACATAGACTATGTTCTTTCCTTTGACCTAATAAATGATAGGAACAAAATCTAGTGTCAGACTTTTCCTTATTCATCAGACCTTCAGCTTGTTTCTCCTCCCATTGACTTACTAGCAATAATGGCAATAAGCATTAAGAACAGAAAATGTGTCATCCTGTGGGTCCTGTTTTGGATTTTCATTAACCATGGTAATTGTCTGTAGATCTGTGGCAACCTGCACTGAACGAGGCATGCAGTGTTGTGATGAGCGTTCAGATCTGTGTCTCTTGGCAAAACACTTGGTTGGTTGTGTTTCCCGTGGTGACCAAAGTACTCTCACCGTGACATGCCTTCTTAAAAACAAAAACCCAGAGATCAAAACATGTAACCTTTGCAATTTGTGCAATGTTAGCACAAATCATGTAATATATAACACTACATTTAATAAACAGATTATACATTTATCATGTAATATATACGCTACATCACTCTTTTTACAAATTGACCTTTTATTTCAAAGTAAGTTTCTGTCTGATGAAAGAAGATAATTACAGTTCATTGCCTGTTTTTGGCATATGGAAAATTGATACTAGTTGACATTGACCTTGATTGGATTTGGCTTACAAGAAGACCATAATTTTCATCAACTAAGACATTTAAAGTATATTTTTAGAACAAGAAGGTTATATAAATATATCAACAAATGCATTTGATACAAAACAATGCACCAAAAAAACCAAGGAAGCAGCTGTTTTTATGTCGTCCCCGGGTTGGGGTCACATCTCTAATGGCATATAACCTCCCACACGATTTCAGACTCGGCAGTGTCGGGAGTGCTGTTGGAAAGCTGGGCCTGAGGAGACAGATTGAGGACGGAGATTTACTCGGTGTTAGTTTCTGTGTCACAGCTTCCCGTCCATTTAACTCTTGATCCGTTTTCCAGAAGTGCTCACAATCGCAGTAGGCTCCCAGAGCTGGAACTTGAGATGCATCTTTGGCTTAAATTACAAGTGAAATAGAATGTAGTGACCATTTACCCTGGTCTAAAAGAACATCAGTGAGATTATTCTCACTGGCAGGGGCGTGGGGACTGGGTTGGCAGAAGCGCCGTGTAGACGCTGGCCCAGGCCTCTGCCATCGCACACTGAGCCCGACCAGCTCCCACCACCCCCTTGCCGCCTACTGACCGCTTCACCAACTGAAGATGGCTCACTCTTCTTTTTTTATGACAAAAATTTACCCTAAGGTTTTTCACGCTGATTTTTTCCCCTCAGTCTTCCATTGAAAAATAAAAACTTCGTTTATGTGCATAGTCATAATATTTTTATCCGAAATATCAGGGATAAAATTTGGATTTTATGGTACAGTCATAATTCTGAAAGATGGCTGAATCACTGCCTTCTTTAGGGACTGTAATATGACTTACAGCCTTTTATGATTTTTCAAATGGCACCAGTAAAAGGGATGGGTGTTGATATTTGTGGGCGTCGCAGCAGAGGCTTCTTACACCTGATTGCTGCCTCCCTTGCTCTGAGGTGCATTTCGGACAAGTAGGGAAGTAAAGTGTTGAGCCAAATCCAGACCCACCTCCATACCTGTGCAGAGTTGGATTTTGCCAGTGAATGTCCAGAACTTTTTGTTTTCATTCATTTGGTTAGTATCTGTAAGAGCATTGGAATGTTCCAATAAGAGTAAGCTGTTTACTTACTGTTATTCTCCCTAGAAAGAAAAAGGCAGACTTTGGTTACATATATTCATTAACTTAGATGTGGGGGCTTCTACCTTCCATAGTCAACATCTCAATCATGATTATGCCGTCGCAACACAGGACTGCCTCAGCGGCACCTGGAAGCAGCAGCTGGCAGCACCCAGCAGCTATTCTGCAATAGTCACCCAGTTCCCATCTTCTGCATCCTCCTCTCCAGTGCCTTCTCTAGCCTTGACTTCCCTCTCCCTCTCCCTCATTCTCTCAGTATTGTTGCTTACTTACAGGCTTTTCAGAAACTCAAGGGAAAGAACTTCCAGTTCTGAAAACATAAATTGAGACTTAAACATTGCGACAGCCCTAAAGGAGAAAACCGTTTGTGCTGAGCCATGGTACCAGTTCCACTTTCTGTGAAGGACAAATTTCTGTAACATAGCATGTGGTTCCAAGTGGTGAGGTTGGTTGGCCTATAGACGCTAAGGGAGATAACTTCCTTTAAAAATGATGAGAATTAAAAGGAACCTTAGAGTTCATCTGGCCCAGGGTTTTCTACATTTGCCTGATTGTAAAAATTACTCGGGTCTTTTATAAAATAATGAAAATTCCAGGGTCCCACCCAGGCCTACTGACTCATGAGCTCTAAGGAAGGGTCCTAGAAATCCATGTTTTGTTGGGTTCTGGTGTGTGGTTTTTTAAAAAACAAGTTGCCTATGTAAGTCTAAGGATCAGGCAGGTAGGGGAACCCTAATGTTCTATAACCACCACCCCTTACAACCAAGGAAACTGAGTCAGGTTAGTCAATTGATTGCTTGGGTTACTCAGCCAATGAGTAGCCTAAAGTGTCATCTCAACCACTTACTGATGGTGTGTTAACACCTAACTTGAATATCATTTTCCCACCTATACTATGAGATTAATACCTGTTTCTTGGGACTGTTATGGGAATAAGATGAGATCATGGATAACAGCACTTACAAACTATAAAGAGCTAGATAAATGTAAGCATTTACTAAATGGTTGTACCAGGACACCCGCTCCATTGCTTATGCTGCACCCCAGTGGCTCTTCAACGCCTTGTTGAAATATTTTGAGCTTATATTTTCAAGCTAGAAACTACCTCTTGATATTTAAGGACATGAAAGATTCCTTCTCCTCCGGCAGCTTCCTGGTTGATTTTAAAGCACCGGCATTTGTCTTTTACTTTGATTAGCATTCTGATGGACCCACTAAGTGCTTGATGTCTCTTAAGTAAAGTTGAGACTTACACCAGCTATCCCTGTGCAGGTGCGAAATTGAGGCAACTCTTGAAAGGCTAAAGAAACTAGAGCGTGATCTCAGCTTTAAGGAGCAGGAGCTTAAAGAACGAGAAAGACGTTTAAAGATGTGGGAGCAAAAGCTGACAGAGCAGTCCAACACCCCGGTGAGTACCCTCCCCCTTCGCCGTCTTTCCACATGCTGCTTGTAGGCTGCGCGGCTGAGCATGGCAGCATGGCACCTCTTCCCCTGCCTCCCGCTGCCCCTCCTCATTTCCTGCCTCGCGCCTGTGTATCAAAGGGCCGGCGTGTGGACTCAAGCGGCGTTCATACCTAATTTCAATTAATAAAATGCCAGAGATTTAAAAGAAAAGCTTATCCTATTTCTGGCTCCTTCCTTAAGAACTGTTATTCTGTCAGTGTGTTTGTATATTAGAATTACAATAATAAAATCCGATGTATTTTCACACCATCTGCTCAATCTCAGAACATGCACCTCGGTGCTGATTAACTCCTTCTAGTCGCTCAGTCATTAATAACTGTAACTCCAGCAGCTCACTGACTAACAGAGTCTTTGATGTGTCAGAACTTAACCATGTTTTCCTTCTAAAATGGAGCTAACCATGATGACATGCAAATGAGAAGCATTAATATTTCGTACTCAATTTAGTGTTATGATCAGGGGCAGCAAAATATTGGAAAAAGATTCTCTCTGGACAAGCTTTCAGTATTTATTACACCTAGGCAGTATCTTGTTTTCTCCCAAGTCTTGTATTTAGAGGAATATAAAAATTCTTTTTAAGCATTTCACTGGTTATACAGTAACCTTGAGCTTACATGCTAATATGATATTATTAAAGTCTAATCAAATTTCAGCATTCTTTCCTATTTTAAATGGCATAACATTTTCAGGAATTAAGTATACATTTATAATTGTTTTTTCCCAGGGTTTTTAATGGGCAATATTTGTTCAATTAAAATTACCCAAGTAATAGTAGATTAAAAGTAAACATATATTTTAAATTCATTTTTGATAGTTGCTATGGTGATTATGCCAAAAAATACTGGAATGCCGTTCATTTTGTGGTCTTCAAAAAGCTTTCCTGTTTTTAAAAGTCTTAATCTTCATTAAGCAGCCAGTGCCCAATTGGAAAGTATTTTCCAATGTCTAAGGAATAAAATAGTCTGTCTCCTTCCCAACTTGTGTGGAGAAGCAACGTGATATCCAAACAAGGAAAATACAATGAAGCTAAATGTTTACTATCAGATTCAATTTGGAAAAAAAGGACTTTGGTTCTCCAGGGAATTCCAAAATGAACCAAATTGCTATCCATAACACTACCATGGAACATTTTTAAAGTGCCACTTTTATCTGTGAATTTGACTTGGCTGGTGAGAAAACGATGAGGGAAGTTTCCTGTTCTGGCTGACGTGGTGTCAGCAGGCAGCCTCTGAGAGCCTCGCTCTAGGGATCTGCACCGGAGCAGTGCTTCTCCCAGAGCTCATGAGGGACAGGAGCAAAAATGTGACCTTGTCCCTAGAGCACAGCTTCTGAAGTCTGCAAGGTTTTGTTTTGTTTTAAAATGCATTGAAATCTAAAGCCGTAAAAGCGTTGCATGGCTTGACTCTTTCTAAATGTAGTATTGTAAGAAAAAACTTGAGCCATTCACATATGCTTCAGAACCTTTCTTTAGTTTATTGGCATCAGTTTTGCTAAGAAACGGGCTGCCTTGCACATAATTATTGCTCTTAGTAACATAGTTTCATAATAAATAATAAAACGCTCTGCAGTAAAGCTCTGTGTGCTCGGTAGGTTGCCTGCTTGAGTTTTTAACCCCATGAAACTTTCTGTGAAGGAACTGCTCTGGGGACCACCATCTAACAATGGACAGCCTGTAGCACAATCTCAATGAGATTTTCTTCTTTTTTTCCTTATGGGAGATAAGTTTTCTTTCTTTACAGTACTTGCTTTTAATGTCTCTTCTGCTTAGAGCTGGTATTTCTGAAGGAAAGAAAGTTTATGTTCAGATATTTTGTAAGTAGATATTTTCTTTTGTCCTCACATCAGTTTCTGTTTAGCTTTAACTGAGATTTCTTAGAGAAAGATGAAATAAACCTTTTAAAAAGGAAGTGGCTGGAGGTTTAGACTTCCTGTATGTGGCCTTATCTTAATTATGTAAGTTTAACATTTATATAACTTCATAAAAAATTGTATCATTCGATTAATTTCAAGGGCACTATTTTCTTTCCTAAAACTAAAACATTAGTTAAGGATATTTGGGGAGATTAATCCTTTATGCATAAATATGGATAATGTTTATTTTCTAATTATAGTTGAAGCTTGATGTAAGCATTTTATTTATTTTAAGAATACAAGCTAAGGCCAGGCGCGGTGGCTCAAGCCTGTAATCCCAGCACTTTGGGAGGCCGAGGCGGGCGGATCACGAGGTCAGGAGATCGAGACCATCCTGGCTAACCCGGTGAAACCCCATCTCTACTAAAAATACAAAAAAAGAAATTAGCCGGGCATGGTGGCGGGCGCCTGTAGTCCCAGCTACTCCGGAGGCTGAGGCAGGAGAATGGCGTGAACCCGGGAGGCGGAGCTTGCAGTGAGCCGAGATCGCGCCACTGCACTCCAGTCTGGGCGACAGAGCGAGACTCTGTCTCAAAAAAAAAAAAAAAAAAAAAAAAGAATACAAGCTTATCTGAGAAACATTTATAGAGATCTTTAGAGTCAAACCTAATATGAGGAATGACCCTCAAAATAATACAATGAGCCACAAAGAGTTCCTGAGAATATCTTACAATTGAAAACAAATTTCAGAAGCTGAGAAGTTTGACTGCCAGGGAAATAACATCCTGTTTCCAGTGTTTAAGGATCTAAATCAATTATTTTCTTCCATATAATGGATACTTTTCAGTTGAATGATATGAAATTAAAGTTATTGAACTAACGACTCCAGGAGGGTTTTTCCCAAAAGAGCGAGCTACTTTTTAAAAACTCAGCTCCAACTTCAGTTTAAAAATTAGGAAATTAAGGCCGGGCACGGTGGCTCATGCCTGTAATCCCAACACTTTGGGAGGCTGAGGCAGGTGGATCACGAGGTCACACGTTCGAGACCAACCTGGACAACATAGTGAAACCCTGTCTCCACTAAAAATACAAAAAATTAGCTGGGTGTGGTGGCGGGCGCCTGTAATCCCAGCAACTCGGGAGGCTGAGGCAGGAGAATTGCTTGAACCTGGAAGGCGGAGCTTGCAGTGAGCCAGGATAGTGCCACTGCACTCCAGCCCGGGAAAAAGTGCGAGACTCTGTCTCAAAAAAACAAAAAAAATTAGGAAATTGATCCTGAATATTAGGTACCAGAATATAGAGGTCATCCCAGTATATTATTTGTACATTATTTATCATAAATGTATCCATATTGAAACTGTGCCAAAAACATAAGCCTTGATTTGCTTGTTTCTCAAAAGAAGAGGCAGTAACATTTTTCATATCCTAACAGTTTTACCCCTGAAATGGATATGCCCAAACATTTATGGGAATAAGTTGGCTGTTCAAAATAATTACATAAAGTAGAAGATAAATGTCTGTGACCACTGTGAGCGGTGACATCTTAAGAAAAAAGTTCTGTCGAAAGAGGAAAACTTGAATATTAGAGCATATTAGAACAATCTAAATTAACACTGTTTTCCTCCTTTCTTCCCAGTTTTCATGTGTTTACATACTTACGTCTAACTTAAATGTGAGAGACAGCATCTAGAATTTGTTCACAAGTGAATTATTTGATAATTTGAATCAATAGTATTACAGCAGTTCTGGCTACAATAAATAAATAAGTGGAAGCAAGTGAATTCTAGACTAAATTTTAGTGTATATTCAGAGCACTAATCCAGATAAAAAGGTAGTCAACAACCCACATTTCCCTAGAACTGTATTGACTGCTGAACTGTTTTTTGTGCTTCCTCTGAGCTTATCTTTTGGGTATAAAGTTTCTTAATTTTTCATTTGAGAATGAATCTCTGCTTAATTTCTTTTGTAAAAAATATAATGGTTAACTAAATGTTTTCTTGTGAAAGTGAAATTGGGAAAAGTTAAGATAAATCCTAAAAACTATTTGGTTTTAAGCAAAATGAGGGCTTAAAACTTGCAACTTCTTTTCCATTTGAAATTTGGCTTGCTGTGGTGCTTTGCAAACTTTTGGTTGTGATTTATCCTGTCAGTCATTATGGCAAATATGCTGGAGCCAAATCTGCCATTAAATACATTCTCACATAATTCCCTACATTCATTTATTTCACTAATCATTTACCTCCTGTGTAGTGCCAACTAATTTTGTGGTATCTATTTTCCTGATTTAAATTGGTCCTAATTTCTCTTTTTACTTCTGTCCTTTCTTCCCTTTTGATAGCTTCTCTTGCCTCTTGCTGCAAGAATGTCTGAGGAGTCTTACTTTGAATCTAAAACAGAGGAGTCAAACAGTGCAGAGATGTCATGTCAGATCACAGCAACAAGTAACGGGGAGGGCCATGGCATGAACCCAAGTCTGCAGGCCATGATGCTGATGGGCTTTGGGGATATCTTCTCAATGAACAAAGCAGGAGCTGTGATGCATTCTGGGATGCAGATAAACATGCAAGCCAAGCAGAATTCTTCCAAAACCACATCTAAGAGAAGGGGGAAGAAAGTCAACATGGCTCTGGGGTTCAGTGATTTTGACTTGTCAGAAGGTGACGATGATGATGATGATGACGGTGAGGAGGAGGATAATGACATGGATAATAGTGAATGAAAGCAGAAAGCAAAGTAATAAAATTAAAAACGTTTGGAAAACACAAAAGTAATTTGTTTATCTCAGTCTGTACAAAAACAAGTAAGGAGGCAGAAAACCAAGCACTGCATTTTAGGCCAATCACATTTACATGACCGTAATTTCTTATCAATTCTACTTTTGATTTATTTTTGCTTACAGAAAAATGGGGGGAGAATTAAGCCAAAGAAGTATATTTATGAATCAGCAAATGTGGTGCCTGATTATAGAAATTTGTAATTCTATATACAATATAGGACTTTTAAAGTAATGACATTCTGGCTTTTTCTTTTTTAATGAGTACCTTTTAGTTTGTATTTTACTTTATTTCCTTTATTCAAATCGTTTTTAAAAACGTACATATTGAACAAGCACTCTTAACTCCTAATTGTTCTTTGACACATAGTATTCTGTGACTTACTTTTTTTTTCTTATAGCAGTACACTATAATATCAGAAATGGTTGGCCTGAGCAACATAGTAAGACCTCATCTCTACTAATAATTAAAAAATTAGCTGGCATGGTAACACACACCTGTAGTCCCAGATACTTGGGAGGACAAGGCAGGAAGATTGCTTGAGACCTAGCCATCAGTCAGGGCCGCAGTGAGTCATGATGGCACCTAGCCTGGGCAAGAGAACAAGACCCTGTCTCAAAAACCAAAAGAAAGAAAGAAAGAATTGATAGTACAAAATCCAACAACAAAAATACTGAGATGAAAGAAGGTTATAACAAAATGCTCTTCAGAAATACCTAAACGCTGAGAATTTTTAGTACTAAATAGCACAGCTGCTCAAAGTAAAGCCTGAGCAGTGTTCTCAGTAGTGTATTTGAAGGAAAAATACTCTGATTTGAAACCAACAGCTGCAAACTTTCATACCACTGCTGGCCATGGAAGTTTCTTAACAACACACTGTCATTTAAGGCTGTGCTTGTGCTTTATACAAAGAGAAAGACGTGGTCTTAAGGGGATGCTTCCAGGGGGTTAATTCATGCCTCTCCTGGATTTTCCAGCAAGTGGTGTATGCGTGGTCGTTTGTTTTTTAGAGGGGCATAATAATCCTGGATTCTAAACATATGCTCAGCTATTTTAAAGAAGAAATTAAATATTATGAAAGAAATAGTAAAGATAAGTTATCCTCACTTAGGCAAAAACATAAGTCCTTTCCATATCAAGTTTAGCCTACCAGAGTTGTTTTTTGTTTTAACCCTGCTTAATAATGTTGGTGTTT